GTAAAGAGTTTATACTGTCTATGTAAAAGCGTTTATTCTCATAGGCGCTAAGCGATTGTTTTGTTTGTTGGATGCTGTATATTTGATGGGCTTTACTTCTTATGCTGTTGAATGTTATAGTGTCGCAATTATTGTTTTTGAGTGTGTCATCATAAGAATTATATGACAGTTCCTTCTTCACTTTATGTTTAACTATTCCTTTGCTCTTCTTTTCTTCTTTCTCTTCGTTATGTATCTTGAAACAGTATGATTTAGGTTTCAATGCTATAAAGTTTGTTATAATCTTGCCGTCGGCTTCATCCTTAAAGCAACCAAGTTTCTTCTTGTTTGTTTTATCATAACATTTGTGTTTAGGGTCATAACCACTGAAATCCATATAATCCTTAATGTCATTAAAGTCATCATATACATCTTCGGTTTTAATATGTAATACAAAACTGTCAGTATCAGTATATAACATTCTGATATTATTTTTATATTTCGGTTTCATAATGTCATAGTAAAATGAATACATATGTTTTGATAAATCTAAAATACTCATTCCTACATATATTGGTTTATTCAATTTAACTACACTTTTTGCTTTTTCAACTCCTATAAGATTTTCATTGATGATATGCCTGTATTTGAAATTAGGATTATTAACGCATTTTTGGTATCGTTCAGGTGTATCAACCAGCTCAAAGTCAATGTGTTCTCTCACATTTTCCATAGTCTTGCCGTATACAGCGTTGTTCATTAATTTGTACATATCTTTTGAAAAGTCGCTTGTAGCGTTCTTTCGCTTCTCTGTGTTAAAGTCAATCCACGGTTTCAACCATTGCTTGTGTCTAAATTCTATTACTCTGTTTATTTTCTTGATTTTAAGTCCTTGTTTTAAATAGAATTTTAAAATGTCAATATGTAAAACATAATTTTGTTTATCCATAACATTTAGTATCAACTTGTTTGTTTTCTCATCTTTTGGAGCATGATTAAAATGATATGCTTTGTAGGTTTCTTTCTGATAATCACTAAGCATATCTGCTGATACACTCATAATTTCTGGTGCTAATGGGTAATCAGTATGTTTGTCGTGGCATTCTTTCGGATATTCTAAATCAACATCTAAAATATATCCTTTGCTACTGTAATCACTATTGTAATATTTAATGTCTTCTTCTGAGAAATTATCTTTTACAAACTTAATATTCTTATATGGTAGTTTCTTACACATTGCCAGACCATAAAGATTATTAGCATCTAAATAATTGATGTAGGACGACGGCTTTGTTTCATCATAAGCATCTCCCATATACTTATTATTAGCAGTTGCTTTTCTCATTGAAACCTGACACATACCGCCTCTTAGTCCTTGCTCTATCATTTTATAAACTTCTTCATCGTGTAAAAGTTCAAGTTCAATTCCTGTTTTTGATAGCATCGCGTCCCAAGCAAAGTTAGGCAAAGTGTAGTAATGGGCGGGGTCTAATTCATAATCTGTTAGACATTGTTTTCTGAAATTCTCATATACATCGGTTAATAATAATACATCGGTTTCTAAATATAAATCGTGATATTCACCAAGGTTTTTGATGTTAAAGTGCTTCCATATTAGTTTTGCTCTTTCGTAGTCTGCGTCGCTTATATCTTCTTCGCTCAATCTACTGTAAAAACGTTTCTTTTCTGGTAGTTCAGTGTCATTAAATTTATTGAAGTCATTACAATAATCATAAGGATAAACTCCCTTTTCTGTCAGTAAAAATAAATCTTTTTCGTTTTTAATGTATTTGCCTTTGACACTATATTTAAAATGTTCCTGCCAGTTGTCCCTTAATTTATTATCTTCATATTTTGTTAATTTAACAAGTTTATCTAATGATGATGACAAGAAACTGAAACTATCCTTAAATTCAAGTCTGTTTAATGAAAATGTAATAAACTTCTCACTGTTCTGTGCTATTACTGATATTTGTTCTTTCTTTGTGTTTAACTTTTCAAGATTTGAATTATGAGATGAGCATCATAGTTTTTAAGATTGTGAAAGAATACTGGTATATGATATTTTTTAAAACAATAGTCTATATTGCATTTCATATGTGCCGCTCCTCTGTATAATCCAGTAAAGTGGCAATGGTCAGCAACTTTCTTTTTCGCTTCTACTCTGTTGTCAAAAGTGCCATTGCATAAGAAACACTTTTTAGCTTCTAAATGTTTAATTTCATCTAAATCTGACATAATCATATCTTTTGGATTTTTCATTTGTTTCATTACATCGTCTCTAATATTGTTTAATGTATCACAAAATTTATCCATACAATCATCACCTCTATATAAAAATGGTTTCATTTCTCCACTGTAAGCATTAACAAGGTTAAGCATATAACCGCTGGGTTTATGATTTTGGTATGTTCCCTTTATTCCATCTGATGTTTCTGTTGTTAAACATTCAAAATCACCATAAATAACAAATGGCGCTTTCAGTTTCTTAAAATGCTTTTCAAACTTCATTGATGTTCCTTCTTCTGGCATTTTTGTTTGTTGAATGTCATTTGCCATACAACCTTTTATTAAGTGAGAATTTAAAAGTTTTTCTGACTTGAAACCGTGCTGACAAAAACTACAAAAACATTTTATTAGTTGTTTTGTTTGTTTGTCTTCCTGCTAATCTACTAAAATCTTTTATTAAAACATAGTGTTCATTATCATCTTTTTCAATTCGTAATAGATTGATATGACAAGATGGTCTTTCAATCTTCGTTATTCTGTCTGCTCTGATGGTTTGGTTCTCATCTTCAACATAAACATTAACTGATATAGAATTTTGGTTAATTGTTTCAAATGTGTCAATGTCATCGTTGGATGCTGGAAAACACACCATCCCATTGAATTAGACTTTCAGTAGTTATTAATTTCTTGTAGTGTCTCATATGTTGTGGATGGTCTTTCTTGAAGACTTCATAAAATTTACATAAAACACAATATTTAAAACATAATTCATCATCATTTTGAATGTTGATACATGCTTTTTTCTTTGAAATCCATTCTGGTAGTTCCATATATTTACCTGCTCTGTTTGGATTGTATTTATCGTAGTGGATGGTGATTTTGTTAATCTTATTAATCTTCAACCCTGAATGTTTCAAAGGTGAGTTTTCAATTTGTAATTCAATATCTTTAGGTATATTTTCCAATGCTTTTTTCAAGTCTCCTACATTTAGAATGTTATATCTCCTGCTTCTCATATTGTGTTTTATTTGTATATTTTCCTCAATTGGTTCATCTTCTCCATCATCCTCTTCTTGCTGTCTAAGTTTATCAAAAATAACCTCAACATCAATCAGTAGTTTCATTGATTTTGCTTGTTGTAAAAACTCTGTTAGTTTCTTTTCTTGCCATAAAAGATATGTTAATCCTTTGTATCCCTTGAATGGTATGTTGGATATTGAATATGTGTTGGCATATCCTTTCAATGCCGAAAATGTCTCTGATGTTTGCTCCTATTTTTAATCTGTATTTCTGGATTGTTTTAATGCCTCTCATTGTGTTTGATGCTTTTTTTAGAAGATGAAATCGTTTGAAACCTTGTGTGTTGCTGACTTGATTGAGTTTGTTTTGAAGTGATGAGGATAATGGTTTGTCTTTGTTGTAATAGTATTCTTTGTTGTTGATGATTAGTTTTTTCAATGGTTTTTTATTCTTCCCTGTTTTTATGGTTGCTTCATTATTGGATAATAGATATTCAATTACTGAACCCGTGCTGTATTCCCCTGCCATTTCTCTATACTATATATGGTATTTTCTCTTTAAGTATATTTGGGGGGCGGGTTTGGGGGTGGGTCTGGGTTTGAGGTTGTAGGTGACCTTTCACGGAGTTCTGTGAATGAGTGTGTTTTTTTCACGGATTTCCGTGAAAGCCATTCACGGGCTTCGGTGAAATGATTTCACTGGTTTCCGTGAATGAATGTGTTTTTTTCACGGGTTTCCGTGAATGGTCAAGATTGCTCTTTAAATTTTACATAAGGGCACAATTTGCACCTTTGATGTGTCCCCAGAAAGCCTTAAAATTGTGTGAAACCCGAACCTTGAACATGTCAATATCTTAGACTGTTATTAAATGAAAAAATTGTAATAAAGTTATATTGATTTCGCCAAGAACATTTAAAGGGATAATGGGTATAAATATTATGGAGGAACAAAATGAGCGAAAATGTAGTTGGTGTAAAAAGTCAAGTCCTGATGTAGAATTTACTGATAACAAAAAACTGTGTAATGGTTGTGGTGAGAAAAGTAGAGAGAAGCATAGAGAGAACCGAGAAAAGGAAAGGCAACAGGCAAAGGAATATTATGAAAACAACAAAGAGGACATAAAAGTACTTAGAAAGCAATACCGAGAACAAAACAAAGGAAAAATACAAGAACAGGGCAAACATTACAGAGAAAGAAAGAAGGAACAAATCAAACAAGCAAAGAAAGAATATTATGACAATAACAGAGATGTTATTTTAGAAAAACAAAGAGAACGGTTTAAGGTAAAAGTTGAATGTCCTATTTGTAAAACTGAGTTTGTGGCACATCAGAAATCAAGACACAAAGAAACAAATAAACATAAGAAGAACCTAAATAAAGAGAGTGAAGTAGAACAGTGATTAGATTGATAATATTATGTAATTATGATATTATGAATCACCATGTCTTATAGAAAACACCCAAGACAAAACATTTTAACATTTTATGAGAACTATACTTTTAACCTTTATGGGAAAACAGAACAGGCGCGATGATATGGTAAAATGTAATCTTGAAAAAATGCCCTGAAACTGAAAATTCCCCGCCTTAGAATCAATATTTTAACCATTTTTCCCCCACCCCATGTTTTTTCTTAACCATCTCTCAGCCGGTCCACCTGGCACCAATCCCAAAAGCACAAAGGCCGGTATTCTTGGCTTAAGAAACCCCAAAACGGACGGGGGACGAACCCGAGAAACCTCAACCAGGCACGAAAACCCCAACACCTTTCCTCAGGCATTGCCCGTTGACTCCTTGAAATGACTTGCGACCCTGAAAGCCCGACGCTGTGAAACCTGTCTCGCTCACCCAAAAAGACTTCAAACAGCTACTGCAAAAGGCCGTTGATCGCGGGCCCCCCTCCCCCCCAGGCCTCTATGGTGCCACCTAAACCATGTAAACCCACTTGAATCAGCCCTAAACCAACCCGAAATCAACTCTGAACCGCTTTCACCAACCTACACCAGCCATGAACCATCCCTAAACCAGCCCAAAGCCCTCAAAATGGCCGGGAAAGGTGAAAAGGGCACACAGCTCAAAAAACTCTTGCCCATCCGAAGATGCAATGCTCCTCCCGGGTTCTCAGAACCACACGCAACAACAACAACAAGCAAAAACCGTCACTTCTCATCACTCCAACTTCTTCAACCCCCCCCCCCCGACCGCAAATCTCACGGCGCTTCGTGCGCTTCGGGCGCTTCGGGCGCTTCGGGCCCCTCGGGCGCCCGGCCCATGAAAGCCGCAGCTGGCGAGGCCCTCGCCGCGGCCGCGGCCGACGAGGAAGGGCAGGGCGAAGCCTCGAAGCGACGCTGGCGCGGGGCGCTTCTGCGAAGGGCCGTGATTGGGGCCTTGCCGTTTTTTTTTTTGAGATCTGGCACCCGTTGTTGTGGTGCTGCAAAAGGAAAAATTGAAACAGGGAAAACCCGATTTGCGCCATGTTGGGGGGGGGGGGTTCTGAAAAAGACACACCCAAATAACTAGAATGGGGTGGGGTACTTTAAAAACCAAGTTCAGTGCTCATGACTCGCAAGATAATGATCTGTCTACTTCTTGGCGTGTCCCATTACTCCGTTTTTCCGTGAGGGGGAACTTCTTGCTTGGTTATGGGACACGAAAAGGAAACCAAACCGGGGTCCCCAATTTTGAGCCAACGAAACTTGCCCTTCTCCAGCATTTTGGTCCCAACGACTGCTTTCCGGCTCCCCTACTTGGGACTTTGGACGTGGGAAAAAGCCGTTGTTGGAATTCTGCTGGCTGACCACCACCACCACCACCACCACCACCAGCACCACCAGCACCACCACTCTTCCGAGTCTTTGAAACGACCAAAATGACCGCGACGACCGACCGATGTCGGCCTGCCGCTGCACGGCGGCACTCTGCAAAGTCCGTGAGCCTGGAGCAAAAGCGAGGCTCAGGCGCATTCCCCAGATGGAGTGTGTGTGTCTTTCTTGGGGGACCGCTGAAAACGGTGGTTGTTCATTTGGGTGCCTCTGAACAAACCACCCCAACCCTTCCTTTTGGCTTCAATTTGTAAAACCAACTGGGGATCCCCAAAAAAACAAGCATCCCTCACGGTAAACCAAAGGTTAGACCCTCGCCCACTGACAGCGACCACAATCTGGAGCAATCCTGATATTTTGTGAACCGTGAAATGCAAAATATGTTCAACAGGGCTCGGAAAATTATTGACCATGAGAGAGATCCCTCAAATAAAACATGTCCCACAAAGAGATCCCAGGAAATGAAAATGAATATGGCTTTGTCCGAGCCGAGCATTTGGGGGTGTCAAAATCGCACCTACTTTTCTGCAGATTGAAAGGGAAGGAATCCAAAAAAACCACCCACAAAGGAAACTCCTTTTGGGGGCCTCTTGCGGAGCTGCAGCCAGTCTGAATTAAGCCCTCTTTGTTCTTCGGTTTTGTTGAAAGTTTGGTGTCGCCATCACTTCCGAATTCCTTCAAGATCGGCCGGATCGGCGCAAGCGGCGATGCGCGGCTGATCCCAGTCCCTAGTCTCCATGCTTAGGGGAGTGAAACCAAGGGGACTTTGATTTGTTGCTTCTCTTCCAACCAATGGCACGCCTCGCTTTTAACACACCCAGACTTGGTTGTTCGAAACAAACTCTGGAAACCCTTTCCCAGCCGTCTCTTTCTTGGGGAGACGGTGCCGGTTGCGACCCGCTAGTTTGGAACTTTGCAACCATTCTTCTTTGCCTCCCAGTCTACACTCAAGGGCTAGAAAAACGGGCTTGAAGTGAGCTTCCCCTTTGGTGAGCCCTGGTTACAAACCCTCCCTCTTTCCTATGGCTGTCAAGGGCCCCCAATTCCAACAGGGACCGAAAAAAAACGCCCCTGGCAAAAATGGATGATACAACCAATCTAAGTGGAACCCGTCTAGTTCTAACCAAACCTAAAAAGGACGCCTGTGGATGGACCAAATCCATTTCGCACCTAAGAAACCAGACAAAACCACGGCTCGTTGGCATTCAATCGTAAGCTCAGGGGCTTCTGAGCCAACTGTTTGAACGGAGATCCTCCACCTGGCTGTGGGGGTCAAAACATGGGGTAACCCCAAAATCCGCCGACAACAGACGGCGTGTTGGACATAAAAAATGCTCCTTACCTCTTCACCTGTTACCCCTCCCCTAACCCCTCCCCAGGGGCACCATTTCAGGCTGTTTTTTTCCCGGAAGCATTGCGAAGGGTTCTTCTTCTAAAAGCGGCTGCCAACTTCACCTGCCAACTTCTCATGCCAACTTGTCGAGAGTTACTTCACCTGCCAACTTCTCACGCCAACTTGTCGAGAGTTACTTCACCTGCCAACAACTTTTTGAGATTACTTCATGCCAACTCTCATGCCAACTTTCGAGAGTTACTTCACCTGCCTACTTCTCATGTCAACTTTTCGGAGTTATCTTCACTGCCAACTTCTCTCATGTCAACTTTTCGGCTGTTATCTCATTCTACTAAAAGCACAAGCTAATTCTGTCGGGTGTTACTTCACATATCCTAAAAACACAAGCTAACTTTTCTGTTCTACCTTCACATCTCGACTCTTAATTCTTCTTCTTTTTATGGCGGGGGTAGGCCCGACGGGAGCTTACGAAACGCACCCCTCTGCGGAGATCGTGCGTGTCGAAGCGCTCTCGCTGTGGCGCCGTGCGAATTTGTCTTGACCTCGAACCCTCTGCGGGATCCTGCGTGTCGAAGCGCTCTCGCTGTGGCGCCGTGCGAATTTGTCTTGAGCCGGCGAACCCTCTGCGGAGATCGTGCGTGTCGAAGCGCTCTCGCTGTGGCGCCGTGCGAATTTGTCTTGACCTTGGCGAACCCTCTGCGGAGATCGTGCGTGTCGAAGCGCTCTCGCTGTGGCGCCGTGCGAATTTGTCTTGAGCGCGGCGAACCCTCTGCGGAGATCGTGCGTGTCGAAGCGCTCTCGCTGTGGCGCCGTGCGAATTTGTCTTGACCTTGGCGAACCCTCTGCGGAGATCGTGCGTGTCGAAGCGCTCTCGCTGTGGCGCCGTGCGAATTTGTCTTGACCTTGGCGAACCCTCTGCGGAGATCGTGCGTGTCGAAGCGCTCTCGCTGTGGCGCCGGGCGAATTTGTCTTGACCTTGGCGAACCCTCTGCGGAGATCGTGCGTGTCGAAGCGCTCTCGCTGTGGCGCCGTGCGAATTTGTCTTGACCTTGGCGAACCCTCTGCGGGGATCGTGCGTGTCGGATCGCTCTCGCTGTGGCGCCGTGCGATTTTCTTGCTCGCGAAACGGCTTTTGGAAGTTGTCTCGTGGTGTGCGCGCCTGCTTTCGCAATCCCGCGGTCCCGGGTTCGATTCCCCCCTGGTCCGCGGCAGCTCCGGCTTGAAAATCGCAGCTTTTTAGTACAAACGTAGTACGCGGAGCGTGCTCCTGCAGCTCCGGCTGGAAAATCGCAACTTTTAAGTACAGACGTAGTACGCGGAGGCTGCTGCAGCTCCGGCTGGAAAATCGCACTTTTTAAGTACAGACGTAGTACGCGGAGCGTGCTCCCGCAGCTCCGGCTGGAATATCGCAACTTTTAGATACAAATGGCTGGAAAATCGCAACTGTAAATTGCAAATGTAGCACGCGGAGCGCCTCCGCCGCTCCAGCTTTTTGAGGGTTAATTACTTCAACTGCCAGTTTCTCATGCCGAAACTTCGAGAATTACTTCACCTGCCAGCTTCTCATGCCACCTTTTCGAGAGTTACTTCACCTGCCAACTTCTCGTGCCAACTTTTCGAGGAGTTACTTCACCTGCAAGCTTATCATGCCAACTTTTCGAGAGTTACTACACCTGCGAGCTTCTCATGCAAACTTTTCGAGAATTACTTTACCTGCCAACTTCTCATGCCAACTTTTCGAGAAATACTTTACCTGCCAACCTCTCGTGGCAACTTCACCTGCCAACTTTTCGAGAATTACTTCACCTGCCAACTTCTCATGCCAACTTTTCGAGAAATACTTTATCTGCCAACCTCTCGTGGCAACTTTTCGCAAAATTACTTCACCAGCCAGCTTCTCATGCCAACTTTTCGAGAGGTACTTCACCTGCCAACATCGCCTGCCAACTTTTCGAGAGTTACTTCGCCTGCCAACTTCTCGCGCCAACTTTTCGAGAATTACTTCGCCTGCCAACTTCTCATGCTAACTTTTCGAAAGTTACTTCACCTGCCTGCTTCTCACGCCAACTTTTCGAGAGTTACTTCACGCGCCATCTTCTCGTGCCAACTTTTCGAGAATTACTTCACCTGCCAGCTTCTCACGCCAACTTTTCGAGAGTTACTTCACCTGCCAGCTTCTCATGCCAACTCTTTGAGAGTTATTTCACCTGCCAACTTCTCATGCCAACTTTTCTCTTGAGTTACTTCGCCTGCCAACTTCTCATGTCAACTTTGCGAGAATTACTTCACCCGCCAACTTTGCCAGCCAACTAATCGAGAGTTACTTAACCTGCCAGCTTCTCATGCCAACTTTTTGAGAATTGCTTTGCCTGCCAACTCCTCATGCTAACTTTGCGAGAGTTACCTCACCTGCATCAACTTGCCTCTATGCTTCCGGGCCACTCGTCGTCTAGTTTTTTTTTTTTTTTGGGGGGGGTGGGGGGTCACGGTAGTCCCACTCGGGTGATTCTAAGACGCTTCACTAAATCTGTTCATTGTGCGTCCTTGCGCAACTCAGTTTGTCAAAAACATTGGGGTGTTCGATTCCCCCCGGGTCCGCTTTCGCATCCTTAGCAGCTCCAGCGGCACATCGCCAGCATCACTTGCATCAGCCGCATCAGCGCCTGCCAATGCCGTTGAGATCCTTTGCCACCCTGTTCCCTGTTGAGATCCATTCCCCCCTTCCCTTTAAGGCCTTATCCAGATCTTCTCCCTTTTCCTTCGGCTAAAGATTGTTTCCCCACTTTCCGTGTGTGATGATCCTTGGCCCTACAGCCTTTCCGCCCCTGCAGGCCTTCCCCCCCCCTGAGATGGCTTCTCCCTTGTTCTTTTCTCACCGATCTTCTCCCTTTTCTCCTCCCTTTCCTCCCGAAGATCTTTTGCCAACACATTTTTCCCTGTTGAGATTCATTCCTCCCCTTTCCCCCCTAAGGGGGTTGATTCTCATTCTTCTCCCTTTCCCTCTCCTAATATCTATTCCCCCCCTTTCCGCTGGCTCAGATCCTTTCGCCCCTCTTTTCCCCCCTAAGGGCTTTCCCCCCGAGATCTTCTCCCTTTTCCTCCCTAAGATCTTGATGCTGGGGATGTTGCCCATGCTGGTGAAGGAAATGAAGGGGAAAGGGGGAAAGGATCTCAACAGCGAAAGGGGGGGAAAGATCTCAGGGAGGAAAGGGAGAAGATCTTGGGAAAAAATGCCTTAAAAGGGAAAGGGGGGAAAAGATCTTTGGGAGGAAAAGGGAAATCTTTCTCGGGGGGAACAGGCCCTAAGGGGCAATCGGGGGGACAGGATCTCAATCGGGAAAGGGGGAAAAAGACTTTGGGAAGAAGGGGGGAAAAGATCTTAGGGAGGCAAAGGGAGACGAACTCAGGGAAAAGGACTTAGGGAGGAAAGGGGGGGAAAGATCTTTAGAAGGAAAAGGGGGGAAATAAATGATCTCAACAAGGAACTGGGGGGGGGGAAAGATCTTAGGGAGGAAAGGCAGAAGATCTGGGGCAAAAAGGCCTTAGGGGGGAAAGGGGAGAAATGATCTCAACAGGGAAAGGGGTGGAAAAGATCTTAGGGAGGAAAGGGAGAAGATCTGGGGAAAAAAGGCAACCAGGGAAAGGGGGGAAAAGATCTTAGCAAGGAAAAGGGAGAAGCTCTCAGGGGGGGAAAGGCCTTGGGAGGGAAAGGGGGGAAAGGATCTCAACAGGGAAAGGGTGGGAAAGATCTTAGGGAGGAAATGGGGGGGGGGGGGGGGGGGGGAAGAGATCTTAGGGAGGAAAAGGGAGACGATCTCAGCGGGGGAAAAGGCCTTAGGGGGAAATGGGGGGAAAGGATCTCAACCGGGGGAAAAGATCTTGGGGAGGAAAAGGGAGAAGATCTCAGGGGGGGAAAGGCCTTCAGGCTTTCCCGGGGTGAAAGGAGCTCAACACAGGGAAAGGTGGTAGAAGATCCTAGGGGGAGGAAAAGGGGGGAAAGGGGGATAGGATCTCAACCAAGGGAAAAAGATCTTAGGGCGGGACAAGGAGAAGATCTCAGGGGGGGGAAAGGCCTTAGGGGGGAAAGGGGGGAAAGGATCTCAACAGCGAAAGGGGGCAAAGGATCTTAGGGAGGAAAAGGGAGAAGATCTTGGGGGGGAAAACGCCTTAGGGGGGAAAGGGCGGGAAAGGATCTCAACAAGAAAAGGGGGGAAAAGATCTTAGGAAGGAAAAGGGGGAAGATCGCGGGGGGAAAAAAGGCCTTAGGGGGGAAAGGAGGGAAAGGATCTCAACAGGGCGAGGGGGGAAAATATCGTAGGGAGGAAAAGGGACAAACTCGGAGGGGGAAAGGGGGAATGGATCTCAACAGGGAAAGGTGGCAAAAGATCTTAGGGAGGAAAAGGGAGAAGATCTCAGGGAGGGAAAGGCCTTACGGGGGAAAGGGGGGACAGGATCTGAGCAGGGAAAGGAAGGGAAAGATCTTAGGGAGGAAAGGGAGAAGATCTGGGGGCAAAGGCCTTAGGGGGGAAAGGGGAGAAATGATCTCAACAGGGAAAGGGGTGGAAAGGATCTTAGGGAGGAAAGGGAGAAGATCTGGGGGAAAAAAGGCCAACAGGGAAAGGGGGGAAAAGATCTTAGGAAGGAAAAGGGAGAAGCTCTCAGGGGGGGAAAGGCCTTAGGGGGGAAAGGGGGAAAAGGATCTCAGCAAGCAGGGAAAGGGGGGAAACAATCTTAGGAAGGAAAGGGGGGGGAAGGTCTTAGGGAGGAAAGGGAGAAGATCTGGGAGAAAAGGACTCAGGGGGGAAAGCCCAACAGGGAAAGGGGGAAAAGATCTTAGGAAGGAAAAGGGAGAAGCTCTCAAGTGGGGAAAGGCCTTGGGAGGGAAAGGGGGGGAAGGATCTCAACAGGGAAAGGGTGGGAAAGATCTTAGGGAGGAAAGGGGGGGAAGATCTTAGGGAGGAAAGGGAGAAGATCTGGGAGAAAAGGGGGGGGGAAGATCTTAGGGAGGATAGGGAGACGATCTGGGAAGGTTATGAAAGCCTAACAGGGAAAGGGGGAAAAGATCTTCGGAGGAAATGGAGAAGCTCTGGGGGAAAAAAGGCCAGGGGGAAAGGGAGATCTCAGCAGGGAAAGGGGGGGAAAGATCTTAGGGAGGAAAGGGAGAAGATCCCAGGCAGGGAAAAGGCCTTAGGGGGGAAAGGGGGAAAGGATCTCAACAGGGAAAGGGGGCAAAGGATCTTCGGGAGGAAAAGGGAGAAGATCTGAAAGGCCTTAGGGGGAAAAGGGGGAAAGGAGCTCAACAGGGAAAGGTGGGAGAAGATCCTAGGGAGGAAAAGGGAGAAGATCTTGGGGGGAAAGGGGGAAAGGATCTCAACCAAGGGAAAAGATCTTGGGGAGGACAAGGGAGAAGATCTCAGGGGGGAGAAGGCCGCCTTAGGGGGGAAAGAGGGGAAAGGACTCAACAGGGAAAGGGGGCAAAGGATCTTAGGGAGGAAAAGGGAGACGATCTTGGGGGGGGAAAACGCCTTTGGGGAAAGGGGGAAAGATCTCAACAGGGAAAGGGGGGGAAGATCTCAGGGAGGAAAGGAGAAGATCTGGGGCAAAAATGCCTTAAGGGGGAAAGGGGAGAAGGAAAAGGGAAATCTTTCTCGGGGGGAACAGGCCCTAAGGGGCAATGGGGGGACAGGATCTCAGGGAAAGGGGTGGAAAAGATCTTAGGGAGGAAAGGGAGAAGATCTGGGGAAAAAAGGCCAACAGGGAAAGGGGGGAAAAGATCTTAGGGAGGAGGAAAAGGGAAAAAAGGCCAACAGGGAAAGGGGGGAAAAGATCTTAGGAAGGAAAAGCGAGAAGCTCTCAGGGGGGAAAGGCCTTGGGAGGGAAAGGGGGGAAAGGATCTCAACAGGGAAAGGGTGGGAAAGATCTTAGGGAGGAAAGGGGGGGGAAGATCTTAGGGAGGAAAGGGAGAAGATCTGGGAGAAAAGGACTTAGGGGGGAAAGCCCAACAGGGAAAGGGGGGAAAAGATCTTAGGAAGGAAAAGGGAGAAGCTCTCAGGGGGGGGAAAGGCCTTAAGGCTTTCCCGGGGAAAGGAGCTCAACAGGGAAAGGTGGGAGAAGATCCTAGGGAGGAAAAGGGGGGAAAGGGGGATAGGATCTCAACCAAGGGAAAAGATCTTGGGGAGGACAAGGGAGAAGATCTCAGGGGGGGAAAGGCCTTAGGGGGGAAAGGGGGGAAAGGATCTCAACAGGGAAAGGGGGCAAAGGATCTTAGGGAGGAAAAGGGAGAACATCTTGGGGGGGAAAACGCCTTAGGGGGGAAAGGGCGGGAAAGGATCTCAACAAGGAAAGGGGGGAAAAGATCTTAGGAAGGAAAAGGGGGAAGATCGCGGGGGGAAAAAAGGCCTTAGGGGGGAAAGGAGGGAAAGGATCTCAACAGGGAGAGGGGGGAAAACATCGTAGGGAGGAAAAGGGAAAAACTCAGAGGGAGAAAGGGCCTTAGGGGGGAAAGGGGGAATGGATCTCAACAGGGAAAGGTGGCAAAAGATCTTAGGGAGGAAAAGGGAGAAGATCTCAGGGGGGGAAAGGCCTTAGGGGGGAAAGGGGGGAAAGGATCTGAGCAGGGAAAGGGGGGGAAAGATCTTAGGGAGGAAAGGGAGAAGATCTGGGGGCAAAGGCCTTAGGGGGGAAAGGGGAGAAATGATCTCAACAGGGAAAGGGGTGGAAAAGATCTTAGGGAGGAAAGGGAGAAGATCTGGGGGAAAAAAGGCCAACAGGGAAAGGGGGGAAAGATCTAAGGAAGGAAAAGGGAGAAGCTCTCAGGGGGGAAAGGCCTCAGGGGGGAAAGGGTGGGAAGGATCTCAACAGGGAAAGGGGGGAAACAATCTTAGGAAGGAAAGGGGGGGGAAGATCTTAGGGAGGAAAGGGAGAAGATCTGGGAGAAAAGGACTTAGGGGGGAAAGCCCAACAGGGAAAGGGGGGAAAAGATCTTAGGAAGGAAAAGGGAGAAGCTCTCAGGGGGGGGAAAGGCCTTGGGAGGGAAAGGGGGGAAAGGATCTCAACAGGGAAAGGGTGGGAAAGATCTTAAGGAGGAAAGGGGGGGGAAGATCTTAGGGAGGAAAGGGAGACGAAAAAGGACTTAGGGGGGAAAGCTCAACAGGGAAAGGGGTGGAAAAGATCTTAGGGAAGGAAAGGGAGAAGCTCTCAGGGGGAAAAAAGGCCAACAGGGAAAGGGGGGAAAGATCTGAGGAAAGGGAAAAGATCCCAGGCAGGGAAAAGGCCTTAGGGCGGAAAGGGGGAAAGGATCTCAACAGGGAAAGGGGGCAAAGGATCTTCGGGAGGAAAAGGGAGAAGATCTGAAAAGGCCTTAGGGGGAAAAGGGGGAAAGGAGCTCAACAGGGAAAGGTGGGAGAGGATCCTAGGGAGGAAAAGGGAGAAGATCTTGGGGGGAAAGGGGGAAAGGATCTCAACCAAGGGAAAAGATCTTGGGGAGGACAAGGGAGAAGATCTCAGGGGGGGAAAGGCCTTAGGGGGGAAAGAGGGGAAAGGACCTCAACAGGGAAAGGGGGCAAAGGATCTTAGGGAGGAAAAGGGAGAAGATCTTGGGGGGGAAAACGCCTTAGGGGGGAAAGGGCGGGAAAGGATCTCAACAAGGAAAGGGGGGAAAAGATCTTAGGAAGGAAAAGGGGGAAGATCGCGGGGGGAAAAAAGGCCTTAGGGGGGAAAGGAGGGAAAGGATCTCAACAGGGAGAGGGGGGAAACATCGTAGGGAGGAAAAGGGAAAAACTCAGAGGGAGAAAGGGCCTTAGGGGGGAAAGGGGAGAAATGATCTCAACAGGGAAAGTGGAAAAGATCTTAGGGAGGAAAGGGAGAAGATCTGGGGGAAAAAAGGCCAACAGGGAAACGGGGGAAAGATCAAAGGAAGGAAAAGGGAGAAGCTCTCAGGGGGGGAAAGGAGGGGGGAAAGGAAGGATCTCAACAGGGAAAGGGGGGAAAATCTTAGGAAGGAAAAGGATCTTAAGGAGGAATATGGAGAAGATCTCAGCGGGGGGAAAGGCCGTAGGGGGGAAAGGGGGGAAAGGATCTCAACAGGGAAAGGGGGGGAAAGATCTCAGGGAGGAAAGGGAAAAGATCCCAGGGAGGAAAAGGCCGTAGGGGGGAAAGTGGGGGAAAGGGAGGAAAAGGGAGAAGATCTCAGGGGGGAAAAGGCCTTAGGGGGGAAAGGGGGGAAAGGATCTCAACAGGGAGAGGGGGGAAAACATCTTAGGGAGGAAAAGGGGAAAAATCAGAGGGAGAAAAGGCCTTAGGGCGGAAAGGGGGAATGGATCTCAACAAAGAAAGGGGGGCAAAAATCTCAGAGGGAAGGGGGCAAGGGGACAATTCCAAAGGGACGCAAATAAGAAAGCAGGCCTGTAATGTCGGCGGCCTGAGCCGGAGGCGTTAAAATAGAACCCATGGACGCATGGACTCAAACCTGCGGTCCAATTCTTAATTTTGACGCCCACATGGGTCCCTGGTCTTTTTTCCCTGACCGCAGTCTTTGGGAACGCATCGTCTTCGCTGGACTCCGCCTCTCGCTTTGCCCGCAGCTCTCGGCGATCCACAGCGCGTTGCGATCCTCGTCCAGCTGCGCCTCGCGTCCCGCGTCCCGAGCGCGGCGCGGGGCGACTTTTCTGGGCTCGGGGCGGGGACACTTCCTTTGTGGTGGTGCCGAAAATAGGGGGACCCCCCCAAAAAAAAAGGAGAATAGGACACGGAACCCCCAAAAAAACTGAGGACATTCCTTGTGGTTTGCCCCGGTTGAGTTACCGACAAAAGAAAAAAGCGGCACACCCAAACAGACGATCCAAACAGACGATCCTAAGACTACCTTTCCGCAAGCCCCGTAAAGCCGGTTCAAGGGGCTCCTGAGCTTCAATTCGCTCGCGTTGGCCCCAAAGATGGAAGCTATGGGCTTTTCACAATCTACTTTTACAGCCCATTCACACCAAACCCTCCCCCCTCCCCCCCAAAACAAAAAAAGAAGAGGAAAAAAGAACAACAAAAACATCTTAAACTTCAAATGTGTCGGAGCAACCGCCTCTTGGATAAGATCTCCTTGGGGGATGGGACTTGTCCCCCCAAACCACCCCCCCCAAGGCCCCGGCGTTCTCGGCGCCGGAGAAGAAGAAGGCCTTGCGGATCCCGAACGACATCCGAAGCGTAACACCAACTTTTGCTGGGCTGCCCTCAGATCCCGCGCTAAAAGTTTAACTTTTAGGGGGTTAAATGGAAGCTATCTGGAAGCTATCACCAAACACTAAAAGGCTAAAAAGCTAAGGAACCGGATGGCTGGGAGCCACCAAGTTTGGTATTGAACAGCCATGTGGGGGTGGACCAATGTTCTGTTCACGGCCCCTAAATGACCATGGGTGTCTTTTTTCCTATTTAGTGGTTGAAATATAATATTTGGAGTGGTTTTCCCAATGATTATCAATCTTGTATACAGGACCTTTTGGTCAACCTCCATGTGCGAAGCCACAAAAAGCCCTTAAACAACAAGGGGGGGGGATTCGGTCAGAGCCAAGCAAGAAAAACCTAGGCGACAACGTCTTGCCTGAGGAGGTTCGCGTGCCAAGGGCGGTTACACCACATAAACATCTTCCGAGTTCTCTCTGGGACACATGTTTCCTTGCTGGTACAAAAAACAAAAAAAACGATTGCTGCGACCTGTTTCATCAAAAGGCTGCGACAAAAAGAAACATGATTTGAGCCATCCAGTTTGTTTGTTGCTGCACAATCGGTTTTGTCATCTTTTGGGGCTGCTGGATCCAAGCGAGAAAAAAATGGTAAGGATGAGCAAAGTGGCTATGTCTCAAAATGGGGGAACCCCCAACATGGGTGTTGTCCTTTTGGCCACCCTTTTTGACCAACCCAAAAAGGGTACCCTCAAAACAACCAATTGGACACCCCCCAAGTATTGTCCATGGCTGTCCCCGAAAAGGGCCTTGGCCTTGTGGAAATTCCGGCAAGTGGATGTGTTGTTCAGGTCCCTTACTCTTTCACCAAGGTCAACAGGTGCGTGCAAATCTGGGCCAGCTTGGCATCTATACTGGGGGGTTTTTGGATGTGGTGCGGGGCGGAACTAAAATCACAGGTATTCTCCCCTGCATCACAAGAGGAACTCACCTGGTCCGAAAAGGGACGTTCAAACTGACAAGAAAGTAGAGAAACAACGACGTAAAGCCGGAAAACAATGACTCAAAGAAGAAACACAATGACTTCAAGTAGAAAACGAGGAGGGGAAAAAGAAAACTGCAAATTTCCGGGTGTCTGTCCGCCTCACTTCCTCGCATCGCTTCCCTCACATCGAAGCCAAGCTATGCCGCCTCCCGGCGCAGCAGCCCAGGGGAGTTCTCGCGCACGCGGCCGGCGCTGTCCACGTGGCGGCTCACAGAGGCCGCACCTGAGGCTCCAAAACAACGGTCGGGGGGAGGGGAGGGGGGGGGGATGTTCGGGGGGGGGGGGGGAGTGTTTGCGGGGGTAAAAAAAGTGTTTGACAAAGGAGGACACGGGGTTGCCCAAGGTTTCTCAAAGGAAGTGGTCCGGTTTCAAACATCTACGGCTCACAACGCGATTTTCAACATGGCCAAGGTGCCATCCCCCACAAGGGGTGTGAACCAACCAAAAAGGTTGGTGCAACAAAAACGAGTGTTACCCTCTTTCCAAGCATGGAAGTGGACAAAGGGCTTCCCTGAAAGGAGAGTAGTCTTGCAAAACCCGTCTGTCAGCTTCCATGACTGTTGAAGGGAGGGTCACAAACCCACAAAACACAGACACACAAACACACCCCATTAGGCAGATCTTGATACCGGCTGGAAAGCAGTTGAATGGGTGGAGATGTCGTTCGAGATGTGGTGTTTGTTCTTGTTTTCCTCTTGTCCAAGTTCAATCATTCCTTCTCTGAGATTCGCAGTGGAACCATTTTCCAGTACAGTAGGTTGGTAACCAAGGGGACCACCCTGTGAATAGTAAAAGGACATCGAATCGCGAAACACCTACCACAGGACTCACTGGGTAGTATCTGGGCAATCGAACATGAGCTCGAAACTTCATTTGAGTTCCTCACCTACAACTGGTTCAAGCGATGTGCAAAAACTGGATGTTGAATGGCCAGCTTAGACCCCTATTCATCCCAAAGGACGGAGAGGGGAACGCCGGAGATCTGGATCCAAATAGAGGACACCTTTTGAACCAGGGGTTTCGCTTCGCTTGCAATCTGTGGGTGTTCCGTTTTCCCCTCAAAAAGGATGCGCCCTTCTGGCCTTCCTTTGAGCCAAGCCAAAGAAGAGTAGCCTCAAAAAGAAAGACACTCACACATTTACCCCAAAAACGGTGCCCTTGTGACTCCTGGGTTGTTGACTCATACCCCTCTTGAAGCCCAAGAAACCCTCCATGCTTTGGCAGGGAAAAAAAAGAAACACGGAGGTGGCAGCGGCCCTTACATAACGGCTGCGAACAAAAAGAAGATCCGAGCTCAACAGGTTTTTTGCTTCTCGTTGGCCTTTGAGCTTCCAATCATTCCAAACAGCGCATTCCCGACATCGGGCGAAGGTGACCATCCGGCACTAAGTACACCGGCGCAGTTGACCGGACAAGAAAAAAGAAAAAAAAACTTCGCAGTTTGTGGGCCTCGACTCATATGATCAAGGAACCTACTAAGAGAAATGCCCAAAGTTTGCCGATTCAACTGTTGCCATAAAAACCAGCAAAAATAGAGATAACACACCCCTTCAGCAACAGCACCTGACACAAGCCAGCCCAAAGCCAGCCCAAAGCCACCCCCAGTCAAACAAAAACTAATGGCAAGCGGTGGCCACGCCCCAGCTAGCCCAAACGAACCCAAAACCAACCCTGACAAAGCTCTAAAACCGACTAACCAACCAGCCAGCCAGCCAACCAACCAACCAACCAACCATCCGCCTGAGCCACTCCTAAGCAGAAGCCATTGTTATTGTTTGTCGAAAGGAAAAACTAAACCGCGCCTCCCACTGAATCGGGCAACAAAAACATGTGTCTGGCAAAGGGAAACTTGGGAAACCGTTGCCCCAGTTCACCAAGTGGCCCACACCACGTCTGCATCTCATTGGGCCGGGAATCCCATCGGTTTTTTGTCAGGTCATGGTTAGCAACCCGCTTGGAACCAAGCAGCCCACAACTCCGAAGAGAAGGACCTGACATAGCCGGGCCAGCGCGGCCAGCGACATGGGAAGGGAGCTGGTGTCAATGGACTTGGAGTTCGGTCGCTTCACCACATCCGTGGCTACAGCCACCTGTGTGTGACTCCACCTTCTGTGCGTTCCCGTCTTTTTTGTTTTTTATTATTTATTTTTTCGCGTGGCCCCTTTAGATTCACTCCAAAGAGAAGCAGTAGGTGGTGGTACTGGAAAAACATAGATGGCACTGGGGCATACAACCCATCTAATCCAGTGGAAGCCATCTATCTTACCCAAACCGATCAAAAGGACACCTATGCTTGCAGCTCTACCCTTCAAATGAAGACCTGTCCGAGCCCTCACATCCAACCCAATGCGACCCACCCGCCCCGTGGCCCTGAGCCGAGAGAAATCAGGGAGCGCTTCTTGTCATCGCACGGTCAGCAGAAGCCCTCATGAACATAGGTGCCCTTAGGGGAAATCGCCGGAAACAATGCGTCTCACTTCCTGAGTGGATCCGCCAACAAAAGCTGAGCAACACTCGACATGGTCTTCCCACAAAGCATAAAGTCCGGGAACTCAGGGAGTGAGGCTTAGTTCCACGAACGGAAATAGAATAGCACACCTTTCCGGCTGATCGAACCAGTTCGTGATCGCAGTTCCCTGATGCCAAAAGTCCATCCCCAAGTCCGCTCCTGCCGTTCACCTGCGCTGGCTCCAAGCAAAGTTGAGACATGAGGTTTCGACCCTCACGGGATCCCGAGTTGTTCAACCAGAAGACGCGCTGACCTCACCTTCGCCTTCCTGGCTTCCCTCGCAGAGCGCCAAAGAGTTGCGCCTGGGTGGTGTCCCTCCAACAGACCCGCCTCGCTGAAGTCCCCCTTTTTTTTTTCGGGTCGATGGGTCATGGCCTAGAGGCGACAGGCACCTTTTTGTGGGGGACCTCCAAGATGGTCCTTTTGGTGTTCCTTTAAACACCCACACGGAACGGGGTACCCTGAAACAAAAGAGGCGCCCGAATAGGGAAAGAAGGATCTCCGAGTCTATTCGTGTCTGCGCGGGTTGGCCTCTTTCTTCCGCAAAAGTCAGCCGTTGTCGGTAATAAATTTGCGCCATCCTCACGTTTAAGGGATGAACCACATGCTGGCCCGCTGCGGGGAACCTTCTACAACCACCATGGTAGGGATTCCAATTGAGGGAATCAAGATGGTTTGTTTCAATTGAGAACCCTTTGGTGGATCTCATCTACGGGTTTTCTATTCATGTACCCACTTTCGGAGTTTAAAGGGCGGCCCTTGAGCATACACCTCCGGCCCAAAAAACAGACAAACGGACAAACAAACAAACAAACAAACAAACAAAGAAAGAAACAAAAGAAACACACACACACACCCAAAGAAAGAAGAAAAAAAAAGCGGCCTGCGCCTTTGGCGCCTGCTGCAGCCACTGCTGCGCCACCGCCATTGCGCCGGAGCCGCCTCGGGGCGGCTAAAACACGCTCACAGCAAGAATCAGGTAACCCTCAAGTAGGACCAAGATGGGGGGTCTTTCTGAAGGACCGGACCCCCAACGCGTCGGTTTCCTTCTTGGTCTCCCTTGAAAGCCCCTCCAAAAAGGTTGCCATCAAAAAAAGACACCCAAGGGTCTGCGTGAGCAGCCAGTTGTGCCCGCTGTCCTTTGTTGGACAATCAGGTAACCCTCAATTGGTAGTTTGGGGGCTGAGGATAAATGGGAAACTTCCCAACCTCCGATTCAGATCAATTGGCTGTTCTAACGTTGGAAATCCACCCTGGTCAAGTGGAACAAAAACTACAACCTGCAGCTTGGGTGTTCGGCCAGGCCCACTTATGAGTGTGGAAGAAAATGGGGGTAAACCTTGAGGGTGAGAAACCGCAATGCTTAGGGAATCACTCACATCCCAACCAGGCGAGCTCCACATTCGAGAAAGGATCTGAAAAGGAAACCCAGTGGAATCTTCTTGAAAAGGTGAACCTTGACCACTGATTTCAAAGTTCACCCATACTCACAGAAACCCGTGGAAGACAGGCTGTGAAGCTAGAAAACCCACCTCTGTACGGCATGTGCAGAGGAAAAAGTCCCAAATGAAACCACCAAACAAATCCCAGGTTTTAGTCCTGGGCTCCATGTACCAGTGCAACCCATTCTGGGGTTGCCCCCTTTTTGGCAACAGCCCAGGTGCCAAGGAAAAATCCCGTTCACCGAAACCCGCGCCTCGCCCGGCCAGCTCGGCCGCGCGGCGCCGCAGCTGTGCGCGCTGAAGCTGGGAGGCCTGGCGGGAGAAGGGTTCGCCGGAGGGCGCAACGGGAAGCCCCGAAAAAGCACCAGGAACCAGGTTTCCAACCCCGGTGTTGGCGCTGCGAGCATGTCGAATCCAAAAACTGATCTGATCTTAACTTTCGCCAAAAACACCAGGTGTAGCTGAGTTCGCCCACGAGCCAGGCTGGTCTGTGGGGGATTCCACCCGGAAATTCCAAGGTACCAGGAAATTCCAAGAGGAAATCCAGTTGCTTCGTTTTTGTGGCGTCTGGAGATTTGTCTAGAAATTCTAGGTTCGCTGACTTCTATGATATATGGGAGTTGCCAAAACCCGGGGGGCACTTCTGCGGGTTGGCATTTCGAATCCTAAAAGCTGATCTCAGCTTTCCTCTCATGGTGTTGTTTGTTCTTCCGCATCAGCTTGTCTGTTGCTCACCGGACTCCGGACTTCGGTCTCCAGCGAAGCTTATTGAGCATCTACCCGTCGACTACAAGAGCCAGGGGTTCAAGTCGCCAAATAATCAAAAAAGTCGAAACCAACTGTGGAAGTCGGGCAAAGCTATTCCAGGGTCTAGTTTGCTTCTCCAGCCCAGCTTGCAAGTTTAGTAGCTGGCTGGCTGCTAATTCACGAACTCGCTTACTCACTCACCTGACTGACAAATGAACTAGCTGCTCTACGAACCAACTGGGCAAGTCATTGATCAACTGTGATCGGACCCGCAAAATGGCATGCAACGGCTGTCCTGCTTCCTTGTACCCTTAAAAAGACAGATGTCTCAACCTGCCGCTCAACCTGCCACTTTGACACGTTGCCTAGTTTCTGCTTGCTCGAAAAAGACGGGGTGATTCTGTGGAGCGTCCCCGGCCTTCCTGTTTGAACGCGGACTGGAGTTGGTTTGAGTCTACCGGACTCAGAAGACCGCGCCTGATATGTCCAAGTGGCCAACGTTAAGATGTTGTGCCTGCTGGACTTCAGCTGGGCTTGGTCGACGCAAATGGAGTTGCACATCGATTCTGCAACTCAAGCACCGGGCGGTGAGTTGCATGCCTTTTCATGTCCCGAACTCCAAGCAGCATGCCGTGGAAATCTAGATCGTCCCACTCCCAAGCGCTGGAAGCAGAGCGACTCGAGAGCTCTTTCCAGCACACTGGGGGACACAGTGTCACAAAACCCGGTGCGAAGGCGTTTGCGCGGTGTGTCTAACATTTGCCTAAGCAGGAGAAGAAACCAGACCCGTGTGAGGAACTGGAGAGCCCGGAGTTAAAGCCTTCAAAAGAACGACCAAGAACAGTTCCTTCTGCGATATGGGTGGATCCATTCAGGTTCCAACCTAACATCACCAAGAAACGAAACTTAAATTGGGTGTCCACCAGGCGACTCGGCAAAAAAACGAGTTCCCCTGCCACCAATTGTTGGACGGGTAACGCCTGGGGAACGTTGGGAATATGGCAGTGGTGGTGGACAATAATCCTTGGGATACCCGTGACTTCACTCAAAGGGCATTCCGAGCCCTTTTGGGGAATCCCGTCGAAGTTGCACCCACCTTCCTTTAGGGTATTGGGTCTTCATATGCTCTTGGCTGCCGAAACAGAACGGCGAAACCCCATCCTCGGGCGTGCGTCGAAAACCACGATCTAGACACCATGCCCGACTCTTGGCGTTCGAACCCGCGAGGGTGTGTTCACAAACTTTGAACGTTGCGGGCCTGGCACCCAAAATGGCAAGGGCGTGTCTCCAAAACGATGGGCCCCAGGAAAATGCGGACTCTCCTTTTGGTTTGCTTCTAAAACCAACCAAAACAGGCTCCCCCCAAAACAACAAAATACGTTTTAAAGCCAACCAAACCAGGCTCCCCCCCCCCAAAAAAAAAAGAAGGAAAAAAAGGCGTCCACACGCCTCGTGTCGGCTTCGCCCCGCCTGGCGCTCCGCCGCCAGCTCCGCCCCCGCGCTGCGCAGCTCCACGTGCAGCGCCTGGCACCAGTCCTGCAACTCGGATCGGTGATCGGATCGATCGGATCGGAGCCTCCCGTTTCTCCGGGTTCCAGTTCTTTTTTTGTTTGATGTTTTTTGTTTTTCTTCTTTTTGTGTGCTTGTGTTGCTGCTTTTTTGTTTGTTTTCCCCCCCGCCCCCCCCCCCCGCCCCTTTTTGTCCGGGGATTCCTATTGAATGGGTATAGCTCCTCTCTTAATGAGGGACCTAAAAACGGTGATTTACACCTAAGAAAACTCCTCACGGGACCCGGGAATCAGATCGCTTTCAGAGGGACCAAAACCTTGGGATTCACATGGGGTCAACACTCCCACGCCTCTTACCTTTGATCTCCAAATTCTTCGCCCCATCATAAAAACTCAAAACACACCTGATAGTCAAAACCCGGTAGTAAAATGGTCGATCCGCAGAACCATGTGAAGAACTAGGAAGGCGGAGATCCGCAGCTATTTATGGCAAGGGGATTGTCCCTTACTAACCTTCATCTACCCGAATCGGTTTTGATTGTGGCTCGAGCGTCGTTTCGGGGCGTTTGGGTGGGGGAGGCAGGTGAGCCATTTGCTCAAAACCCGAGCAGATGAACAAATAAGGGAAAACCCCCTTGCCAATTTACGGGGGTGCTTCGCCGCCAATCGCCAGCTTCTCGAAGGCTCCACTCGCCTCGTAGGACTGCACGCGCTTCTTCGCCAGCTCCAGGGCCAGCTCCGCCTTCGAGTTTTCGAAGCCGTGTCCGGCGGCGCCCGAGAAACAAAAAAGGAAGCGCCGCGCTTCCTTGTTGGCTTTTGGAGCTTCGCCTTTGCTTTTTGTTGGTTGTTTTTTGTTGGGGGGTGGTTTGTCTTGTTTTGGGTTTGGGTTTGGGTGCTCTGCTGTTTCTTCTACCCTCTTTGCAACCACCACGAAAGCAAAGGGAGAGCTTTGAAAAACGACTCTTGCAAAAAATAAACAACTGTCCACTTCCGCGATCTTGAGGTTCTCGCGCTACGTTTTAGCTGCCTGCGAAAAGACATCCCCAAAGACGGCCCCATCTGTTCTCAAAATAGGGGTGCCCTAAAATGGTGAGCGGGGATGGCCATGTTGTTAGAAAATCCAAGATATGGCTGTGGGTCAAAAATAGGTACCCAAAATGGCACCCTGGTAAATGGAAACAATGACTAAAACCTGTGGTCCCCTGGTGGTTTAATTTTGACCCATACCCATATTGGGGTTCTGAAAAAACAGAAAAGCGAGTTTCGCTCCACTCACTGGTTCGACGGTGAGAAATTGGTTGTTCTAGAGGAGAAAAACACCAAACCCCACCCCTGTCAAGGGGTCGCTTTGAATGATTCTGGTAGAATCACAAAGTCACAACGACCCCCTTTTGGATGGCGCTTTAAAGGAGCTTCAACCAAAAGAGAAACAAATCATTGAGGACCAATCCTATTTGAGTGTCTTTGCTTGTTTTGGAGGGGGGCCCGTTCACCCTTGGCTTAGAGGGAAAGATAAACCACCACCTTTGCGGTACCGATTTACAGAATCCCAAAGGGGGGGGGGGTTGGTCCAAGAGGTTTAAGGCAACCCGAAACGGGCTCTCAACTGCCGACTCGCCTTGTGCCCCCAGAGCGGGATTCCATTCCGTTTTTCTTGATGGTGCTCAGTGAGAAATCTGGGTTTTGGGAATGAACCTAGGCATTCCCTTAAAGGAGATCATGAGGGATGGTTTTTTGTTCTTTCTCGGGGGTCATTCCATTTCTCATTCCCTGCCTATCGAACCATCAAGTGTTCCAATATCTTCAACAAAACTTGGGTTCACTCCAGCCTGAAATCAATTTGGTCCATAGCTTCGGACATGTCACTCAACAAGGCTCCGCACAACCGGGATCCCGGTTTTTCCACAGGTCCATTGCGGGTTTTTCATGTGGATCCGCGTCTTCTCCGAGATGTTTTTCACCAAACAAACAGCACCCACCGCGAAACCAAGGCCGACGTCGAGCGTCCTGTCGCGTCCGGTCGCGCCCAGGCCCGGGGGTCCGGTCGCGTCCGGTCGCCTGGGAGTGGCGGATCTCCAAGGCCTCCGACTTCGCCTGGGCTTCCGCGAGCGCCGCCTCAGCCCGGAGCGGTCGTGCGAGGCGGTTTGGTCTGGGCTCAGGTCGTTTGAGGCGAGGGGTGCTGTCTTTTGGTTCCTTTAAAGGGAGACAAGCAAAACTGGCAGACATAGGGGGTCCACCAAAACCAAGACACCCATATCTAAGCAAAACAAAGGTCGCTCGAGTTGGAGCAAAGGGCCCCTAAAGTGATTGGATACTCCCCAGATTGACGTGGAACCCAAAAGGTGGTCCGCCAAAAGGAGATTTCTCAACAAGTTGGGTGATCCCATGTTAATCTGCAGAGTCCCCTGCGATTTAACCTGGAACCCGAAAAGGGGTTTTTCAAGAGCAGCTAAGAGGACATACACACACAAATGTGTGGGTATTTGAGTTGGGCGTACACGAGCCTGAACATTTCTGTCCGCGTATGTTTCAAGGTGCTCTCTATTGAACATGAATAGCGCGGCTGACGTCTGGGGCTGCGAGGTCGGCGGCTGGGGCTGCGCGGCCTCGTCGCGCGAGAGTGCAACCTGCGGCCTGGTCGCGCAGTCGGACTCCTGCTCACTGGCACTGCGCTTGCCAGCTCCTGTTCCACTCGCCACTTCCTCCAATGGCAACGCTCGCTCGTGGCCTGATGCTGCTGCATCCCGGAGCGGCCGCCGCGGATCCACTGGTCGCAGACCACGCACTCAGTGTGGCTCCTCCTGGGCCTCGTCTGCCTCGTCTGTTTCCGACCCGCTCAAGGGTGTTCATCGGCGACCCTCACTCAGTGGATCATGACCACTAGCTATTATATCATACAACTGTACTAGCAAAAATCCCAATGAAAGCAGGCTCAAGTGGGTATGGTTTTCGTCTTTGTTTCCAAGGTGCCATGTTCATCCAAGTCGAAACACCGTGGACCACCGAACAGGTCGAATCCGTAGAGCGACTGTGAGACAAGCAGAGCCCAAGCGCCGAGCACATCGACCCTGGAAAGAAGCCTAAAGACTATCGCCAGCAATCATGGGTAACATGCTGGGCGTGGCTTTTTGCCTTCAAAATCAACTTAAAACGAGGTTTACCCTACCAACGCTAAACTAAAACAACTTGAATCTTCAAGAGCATAGCAAACATTGTGATGGTCTCAACATGTTGGAGCCTTCGGTTGGTTTGCCTTCAAAACCAACCAAAAGAAGCTGAGAAGGCTTGCCCCAACGTCAAGCTACAAAACTTGAACCTAATTCGAATCACCAGCCTGCAAAGGAAGCCCCTTGTTTGAGGAACCTGTAGCATCCCGTCCGAGAAACCAGTATCTCCAAAACTTGGGTCCTGTAGATTCCCCGTCAAAAAGCTTATGTTTCTGCTGGTTAAAACGAAATATGAGGGGAATCCGAAAAGTTAAAGTCTAAAGATCCAACCCAATAGCAGTAGAGAAAATTGTGGCTGTGTTCCTTTGGTTTCCCTTCAAAACATCCCAAAAAACAATGGGGCCCTGGCAAAAAAGTGACCCCGAAAAACAGCCGCTGCATGGGCGACTCAGAGGCTCCGACCAAGCCCTCCTGGAGCACATGCGGGGGGATGGAAACGCATACACATACACATAGATGTACAAATTATGTCTACGCACATGCACACACTCACATAAACATACACATAAACATACACATAAACATGCAAATACACCTACACATACAGATACACATACACATGCACATACCCATGCGTATGCATATAAATATGCATATGCATGTGTATATATATATATATATACAGAATTGTGTGCATGTATGCATTATCATTCATGCACATATGTTCCTTCAAGCAAATGTCTCTGCGCGCGCAAGTTTTCCCAAGCAGGTTTCTCGCCAATGAATGGCGTTGCAAAGGGGGCCCCCCAAACTCCACATTTGGATCAGCAAAGAAAATGGAAAGTGGATGGGTCCGCAAGGGAAACTTCCAAAAGGGTCTAGAAGCCAGATCAGGCAAAATCCAGGAAAACTCCCAAAGAAAAACGGGAACAATTCTTCCAAAAGAAGAAAAGGACACCCAAAGAAGATCTCTCAGAGAGGGTTGCTTAATAGACCAATGGAGGTCTCTTCCCGACCCCCATTTCCGACTTGGGACCCCGCCAAGGCGAAAACACGAGAATTGGATTGCCACGTAAGACCAATCAAACAAGGAGTAGCAAATTTCTGGTAAGCAATCCGAAGTTGGTTTAATATCCTTACCCTTAGTTTTGATTCCAGACCTTGGAGTCACAAATTCTGGAGATCAGAACCAAGGTAAAGATCAAAAGGCCGGTTGCTGTTGCCGCACCTAGGAGATGGTCCTCACCTTATATAAAATGTCAGCCTATCAAAGACACCACAACACCACCGTCCCCACAAATCCCCGCCCGGGACACATGCGACGGGGTACAGCGGCAATGTTGTGACGTTCACACAAGGTATTCCCAGCTTTTCCGGGAGGGTTCTCAGGTGCCACTTCGGAGAAATATGCACACATGAGGCGCGTGAATGCGCAAAACCCTCAAAAACAAATTTGGGAAGAAAAAAAAAGACACGGTCGCCTAAGCCTCAGCAAGAGTCTGGGGCCATGATTGTTTTTCTGGCTCACCACTTGCCAGCTCTAATGGTAATCCAGGTTCTCTTCCGCACATCCCTCCTCATCACAGCTCGCCTGCCACAGCGATCTGGATCCGCCCAAAGGTTCAGCAAAGAATCCCAGCACCGTACGAGTTATTGCAAGGATTCTAAAGGCCTGTTCCTTAGAATGGCAAAGAACATATTCAAGCCTAGAAGCAGTCAACAAACGTACGCCCGATAAAGGGTGGTGGATCCACCCTCTCGAAATGGAAATCGACACAGGGAGGGGGCAGCTCTTGACAAAATTGACCCACATCATCCCACGTCCCACGTTTGGCATGAAAGGTTCCTCGCCGCCTTTGAAAAAGCGGCTGTCGGAGTCTGGGTGAACATACTGGGCCAAGCTGGTAACGGGGTCATGGGGTACGGTATAGGATAATGTTGCTTGCACTTGTGCGGATAATGTTGCTTGCACTTGTGCCCTAAATCTTGCTTGTTCCGGGTGGGTCTTGGGAATGACCAAAGCATCAACTCAAAAACCCTTGGTTTGATTGACGGATTCCTTCCCTCATCGCCCGGCAACTATTTCACAGCATGCGTCTCTCAGGGCTTTGCCAGTGGCTCGCGTTCGCGAAAGGAGATTTGTCCAACTGCACTTCCACTTCACACATCCCATTTTAGTAGTCTTGCTTTCGTTTGTGGATGGGAGTTTCTACTCTTCGGTCAGAGAGGTTCGGAACAACCCTCAGGAGCTAGTTTAGCGCCTAATTCGGGCGCACTTTGGCATCTCCTGGTTTGGGGCCCTACCGTTGGCAGATTTTTTGGAAACTCGCGCTCTAAATTTGGCCACCCAAGACAGTTGAAACCAACAAGAGAAGCAGAGGGCTCTGACGCCCAAGACCGAGAACACACCAGGTCTTGGGAGCACCCTTGGGTCATAATCTGCATGGACAACATTTATTTAACCCTAGGAAGCCCGGCTGGGAAATTCCACCGTTGGTGCGCCTGCCATCTCGGCTGCACACCTGGCCGGAACGTGTTGGGCACACTTCATGCCTTGGAACCCCCTCGTCCCCCCGAGAAAAATGTCAGACGTCCCGGGAGAAACATCGTTCTCACATTGGCTTCCTTTCAAGATACAGCAAGCAAAAAATAGTCCAAAAGGGCATACAACAAGCTCTAAAACTTGGCCGCCCACGTTGTCGACTAAACAGTGAATCAAACGGCCAGCCGGGCTTGAATGACCACCCCCAAGTTCGTGAAACTCCTCCCCAGGTTGTTCAGCCTCTTCTCCCACCTACCCCCAGTATGGTGGATAGACACTGAAAGTCCATTTTGCAACCAGCGTCTGGGTAAGAAATGGCCAAGTGTCCATCTGAAACCTATTTTTTAGACCTCGAAGTGTAAGTTGTTTAAAGGGAGCGAGCCTCCTCTTGGTCAGACCCACACGAGTCCTAAGAAACAAGAATTCGACCCCTCACGGTCAAAATGTGCAGCAGTTTACCTTAAAAACCTCAACTAACAGTGATGCCCCTAATCCAAACACCTGTCCCTCGCTTTTCTTCTGGGAAAGTCCTGAGGTCAAGCCCTCCGCTGTGCATCTTGTCCATGCACCAAAGTAACGCGCGGGTCTATCTAGCTATTAAGGGCCCCACCAAAATGTTGACCAACGGTGTTATCCTTTTGATTTTCCTGGTCAAAACCCAAAACAAACAGGTAATGTTGACCCAGGATTAATAAAACCCGTCCCAGTATTAGGGGGGTATTCCCTCCAAAAGCGGTCTAAATCCCCACTAAAAGGGGACACCCCCCTATTAATCAAGCAGGGGTTCTGCTTCCGGGGTCAACATTACAAAACTCCGAAGATACAAACAAAAAGACGAAATGGATGGGAGCTTCACTCCTCCAGCTCTCCTGCGAACCTGTCGTTTCTGTCCGCGGAACCTGTCGTTACCGTCGAATAAAAAGTACCGGGTTCCCGTTGCGAGGAGGTGGGCCTTTGGGTGGCGGAAATCCTAGCAACTCCCAGCAGAATCATCACAAATTCACTTTTTGGGGCTCTTCCCCCTTGAAAGGTTCATAGCCATTGGGGCACCCAGTAAAACAAGGAAACCTACGATATGGACAACAAAAAGAACCATCTCCCAAGAAGGGCTGGTTTTGGAGAAACTTCCAGATGATCCAAGTGGTTTAAGGACCATGTTAAGAAACTTCCTCATAGTAATCCAGTCAGCTTGGAACGGTCACAATACGGTATCCCTTTTTGCAACCTCCAAAAGTGGCGATCGTATGGAAACCACCAGCAAATTGATCAACTTGTGTAAGGGGAATTCAGTGGACTTATGTAATAACCATGCCTTGCAAGCCTTCGTGGGCAGTGGCACATGTCAGGCCGGAATCCAACCCAGACGGCTCCTCACTTTGGGGCAATGCGTACCCCTTTCGGGGTTGCGTTGTCGTTGGACAACTCAATATTCAGCCACCTTTGGAGGTCTCTTCTTGTTGTCAAACCTCCTGTGCCCTCTTTCTTGTCCATCTCAATCGGATCTCTCATCAACCGTGTCAACTCAACAATAGAGTAACCCCAAAATGAAATCCTGGTAAATGAAACCTGCCGTCCCCTGGTGGTTAATTTTGACCCATACCCAACTGACGCGAACAGCTTCGTGTCTCGGATCGCCTCCGTGAAACTCCGCCTCCGCCTGGCGCAGCTAAAAAGGTTTGCCGGCGGCCGGCGAAGTTCACATACCCCTCCTGACATGCAGTGCATGGACGAAATCCATTTCGCACCACCTCAGAATCCCTGGAATGATACGATTCCCCAGCGCAAATACCAACAAACAATGGGTTCTCATGATTTCCAACTGGTGCAGGATTTTGTCCATCCACAGTACTGTGGTTGAAATACTTGCTTGTTGGGATTTACAGGGGAATCATCATTCCAGAGTTTCTCAGGTGGTGCCGGATTTTGTCCATCCACAGTAGCATCTGTGGGAGAGTACCTGGAAGATCAATTTCCTCTTGAATTGAAGGGACCCCCTTAACCGCCATGCTTAACTCCTAAGAATTGACAAACACAATCGGATGAAATGCGTGAAATGCAAGGTCAAAGCACCGGCATTCTCAATTACATAGTCTCGGCCACACAGTGGCTGGAAACAATCATTCCAGCTAAAGACATGCGGGTTTACCGTCGAATCAAAGAGCGAAAACGAGACTCGCGAGCTTCTCTGAAGCAGTGTAAATGGGTGGCTCGTCTTTTTTGGAGAGTACTCTTTTTTTGGTGGTTTTGAATGCAACCAAGAGGATACCAACCATTCTGGTCCTAAAAAAGTCACGCCCAAACCTCGCAGCCCTAGCCGCTGAAAGCCTATGAGCCACGGTGGTGTTTCTGGGCCGTCTTTTGAGGTCGAACCCCACCGCCGTCAATTTACTGGTTCTCTTCGACGGTGGAAGCTCTTCTGCCAGGCTGCAATGAATCTCCGCCGCCGGGAATTGAGCCCGGGTCTTCCGTGTGACTACCCACTATACTACAGCGGATCTGTTGTGGCTCAAGAATCATGGCCTGACTTCGCGCGCCGCTGCAGCGCCAGCAAAACGTCAATGTTTGTTTCTGTTGGGCCTCTCTTACATTCAAGTCCCTCTGAGCATGCTCCCTTGACCCAAACATCCGCCCCGAGCTGGGGAGCAGGAAATCTCTGCCATCCCATCCCCAACTTTTGGGTTGTTTTAAAAAGAAACCACGAGGGTCGGGGCCCAGGCCAGCCTTTGAAGGAAACACCACAAAACAAAAAACACTCAAATGTTGAGTCCCAATTAAAGGCAGACTCACATGACTACCTTGCGTAACATCACGAATGCACTACATGGCATCTGACTAGAAAAAGAACACAACAGATCGATCGCAAGGTGATACTCTTCGAATTGTCCAAAAGCAACCCTACATTGATATTTGTTTTAAAGGGGCGCATAAAAAGTTGCAGTTTTCCTACCAACCAAAAAACAACACACACCTGCATACCACGACCCCTCAACCCCCGGCCAACCCAAATCAAGACGAGTTGAAAGTTGCATCCCAATCCAAACCTGATCACCCCTCAACCTGTCATGGCAACCCTCAACCACCCCAAAATACTCCAACTTTAAACACGCAAAAATGGGTACCTTGAACCAGCCACAAATCTCAACCCCAGAGCCAATCTACACCTAGTGCTCACTCGCCTGCTTCTTGCTTTCTTGCGACAACATGAAAAGCAACAAACGCTCTCATGGGATAGCAAGGACCCGGCAATTCTTCAAAACACGCCTCGAAGGTTTACAACAAACATCAGCTGCACAAAGTACTAGCAGGGTTGTGCAAAAATCGGTTCAATTCAGCCCTGATCCCCTTTGACTTGTAACGAGCAGACCCGGGTCCCCTTTAAAGAAACCACCCCGGGAGCTGTTGCACAACCTAGCCCCCTAGTGACGGGCCTGCGCCAAAAGCAGCTCGGTGTGCAGCTCTGACAGCCTTAGGAGCTCGGATTTTTCGTGCTTCGAGGTGCGGCGAAGTCCGCGGGAATTCGAAGGTCTGAAACGCGACCGAAATCTAAGGTGCCAAGCCTTCACAATATGACTCGATCACTTCAAAGTGGGTGAGCATCACAGAACTTGTCTGTGCTTGAAATAGTTTTGCTGGCGGCGTGAGCACCAACTTGGTAGATCCGCGTCCAAACTCGGTCTTCGAACCACGCCGCGGTGAAAGTACCCTTTGTGTGGGCAGCAAACGGGCTGACTCTCTTATTGATGGGCCTATTTAACTTTCTGCCAACGCATCGCCTCTACTTCGTGGTCAGTCCGACAAAGAACGGTGAGCAGCTGAGTAATGTTGCAGCTGGGGGACACAAACAATAAGTACGAAATCCTGCACCGGTTCAGGGTAAAACCCCACAAATACTGTGAAAAACCACCCAGGTTTGCTTGCGCTTCCAATTTGCTCCGCAAGGGAAAATTAAAATAGCCATGAACAAGTGTCCACCCAACCTAGAGCGGTCAAAGTATGCCGCTCCAGAGAGGGTCACCTGGCTTGGAAACAGATGGACCAAAGACTGCTGGATTGTTGTGCGAACCTCTTAAAGCAAACTCCTGCCTCTGCCCCTCCCAGCTTTCTCATATAAGGGGACTGGCCAAAAGCCAGTCCACAACTCTGTTGCTGCCCCAAGAATGGCACAAAGTCCACCACCGAACCAACATGGGCGAATTCATTGTATCTGTATATATATATATATTACATGTATACATAAATATGAAGACAACAAGGGCTTGCCTCTTAAATAGGGAAGCCCACAGACCGCTCCCCTGATGCCTCGCGCCTGGGCGTCTAGCCGTGCCTGGCTCTCCGCGAGCTCCTTCTCTCCCAGCGCCTGCGGATCGATCCATGCGGCGTCTTTTTGTTCTCGTTTTTTTGGTGGGTGACCCCCACTTTGCTCGGTGGCTGACTCCAGGGCTGTGGGAAATGGAATCCACTGTGATACAAGAAAACCACCTTCCCAAAGACTACGCCCCCAACGGGGAGGTTCCCTTACAGAAGTGGGGATAAATCCCCTGATCCCACAATCCTGCTGTTGACCCCGCTCCAAAAAGTGAGTTCAGCTAGTTCAGCTGCCGCAGCTGTTTCCCGAAAAGGTTTAACCAAAGAGTCATAAACATCTTTTAGGGGCGGCCATCTTTTTGAAGGGGTACCCCATTCTTCTTTTGTGGAACACCGAGAGCCAACCCGAAAGCCATGTGCGGGGGCTCCCGGTTCCTAAAAAAAAGAACCCGCCTGTACAGCTTTTGTCTTTTCTGGAGGGCACCTCAAAAATCCGCCGACCCCATGCCTGGTCCAGAATGGACCATGCTTTCGGCATGGGGGCGGTGTGTTCTGTGTTGCTTTTGTTGATATGCTTTCCATAAGTTTAATGTGAATATGATTATGTAGATATATATATATATAACCTATATGTCCCTTGGGGCGGCCCTTGGGGCTGGTTTCTACGTCAGCTGGATTTCTGGATTTCTGGATTTCTGGATCTCTGGATTTCTGGATCTCTGGATTTCTGGAATTCTGGATTTCCCCCCCCTCCCCCCCTCCCCCTCCCCCCCCTCCCTCCCCCTCCCCCCTCCCCCTCCCCCCCCTCCCCCTCCCCCCCTCCCCCCCTCCCCCTCCCCCCCCCCCCCCCCCTCCCCCCCCCTCCCCCTTCCCCCAGTCTTCCGTAGTCTTCCGGCTTCTCCCAGTAATCTTCCGTAATCTTTCGGCTTCTTCCCGTAGTCTTCCGTAGTCTTCCGGCTTCTTCCCGTAGTCTTCCGTGTGGTCTTCCGCCTTCTTCCCGTAATCTTCCGTAATCTTTCGGCTTCTTCCAGTAGTCTTTCGTAGTCTTCCGGCTTCTTCCCGTAGTCTTCCGTAGTCTTCCGTAGTCTTCCGTAGTCTTCCGGCTTCTTCCCGTAGTCTTCCGAAATCTTTCAAGCTTCTTCCCGTAAATTTCCGCAATCTTTCGGCTTCTTCCCGTAGTCTTCCGTAATCTTCCGGCTTCTTCTCCTAGTCTTCCGATACTGTTTCGGGACCAAACAACGCGCGTGTCCTGTGCTTTCGGGCTTCTTCCCTAGGCTTCGGGTAGTCTTCCCCCACCCCTCCGCCCCCCCCTGTGTCTGTCTATGTCTGTCTACGTATCTGCATCTGTCTTCGTGTCCGCGAAGACCCCCCCTGCCCCTGCGTGTCTGTCTGTGTCTCTTTGTGTCTGTCTGGGTCTGTCTGCGTCTGTCTTCGTGTCCGCGAAGACCCCTTGCGTGTCTGTCTCTGTCTCTTTGTGTCTGTCTGTGTCTGTCTGTGTCTGTCTACGTATCTGCGTCTTTCTTCGTGTCCCCCCCCCCCCGCGTGTCTGTCTGTGTGTCTTTGTGTCTGTCTGTGTCTGTCTACATATCGCGTGCTTTCTCTCGTCCCGGGCCGAAATTCTAAGGTGTGTGGGGGCGGCGGAACCAGGCCGCAGGCCATTAAATAAGCGGGTTCCCCACCCCAAGGGCACCGAGAATGACGCACCCTAGATGTCCCCCTTTGACCTCCCAGAAGGAAACTGAAAGGCGACGGGGAAAGCCGCCCGTTCTTCGTTCGGAAACATGGGTATGAATCTTGATTGGCTCTATTTCCACCAACCATTTCGAAATATGTTCCCCGTGAAAGCTCAGAAAGCTACATCCTTAAACACAGAGCTCGACAGCGGTCAAAGTCAAAAGCAGAGATCCCTTGGGGGCCCGGGCTCAGAGATCTTGGAACCAAAAAACGAGACCCTCCCACAAAGAAACAGAAGGAACCAAGAACCGTTCTTTGGAAGACCAGGTTCCTACAAGGGCCATTTCCTGTACGGGTTCCTTCCATTTGTTTTGGGGGAGGGCAAGTATGTGTTCAAACGAGAGAGAAACAGCTTACCACCTCTCAAAGAGGGCGTTGAAATATTTGGGCCTGTCCGCTTTCTAGGGAACCCTTTTGGTTTTCAAAGGAATAGGGGGCTCACCTGAGAAAAGGCACTCCCATGATAGAGAGTGAGAGCACTGCATTGCAACCCTGCATTGGGGGCTCCCATTAACATCGCAAAGGGAAGCTCACCTTGATTTGGCCCAAAGTTGGGGGTGTGTCTGGAAATGTTCATGGGGGACTTGTCTCTCCTACTTCATTTTTGGGGTGGTTCCCCTTGAATCCTGGAACAACCAACACCCCCAAAAGGGGCACCCCCCCAAAAAAAACACACACACGCACACACAGACACAGGCACACACAGGGGTGTGTCGTTTTTAGGGGCCCCCTTTTGGGTTTCCTCTTTGAAAAAATCAATGAAAGTGGGTTCTATATATATATATATATATATTTAAAAGCAAGGCCCTGAAGCCCCCCATGCGCCCGAAGCCGGCCCCGCCTTCTTTGGCTGCACCTCTTCCTGCAGCTCGGCGCTCACAGCCGCCAGCTCTGACGCGATCGCTGCGACCGTCCACGGGCCCCGCTGTAATCCAAACCGAATGACCAGAAACCCCACATCGCTCACCATGAACCCCATGAAACCATCTAGTAGAACCACCTGAGTCAGAATAACTTCCCCGGTATAATTCAAATGGTCTACCCAGAACCATGTAAGGAATTAGAAAGGCGGCGAAAGGCCCCCATTTATGGCAAGGGGATGTTCCCTTACTCACCTTTATCTACCCGAATCGGTTTTGATTGTGGCTCAGGCGGTAGCCCTTTTAAGTTTCCCACCAAGACCCAGGATTTTTTGGGTGGACAAACCCCGAGCCCCAAGCGCAAGCTCAAAATCCCTATCCACAGGGTGCACCATCCTCCTGCTGACTTTGAGAACGCGAAGTTCAAGATGACGGCCAAGCATCAAGCATAGAATTACAAACGGCTATGAATGTCAAGAGTTCGAACCACCTCAACAGCGGCTAAACAGTGGTTGGCGGACATGAACCGCCTAAATTATGTTCACGAAAGGCTCCCCCATGAAAATTAACGCCCGTATACATGTGCATATATATATATAAAGGGTGTATATATATATATACATATCTATATATATATATGGGGCTGAAAGAACAACTCAGGCCAGAAATGGAAGGTTGGAATTCTACCTCTCTTTTTCTTGTTCTTCTGTTGGCTCCACCATGTTTTCCACCTGCACGAGTTGACATGGAACCCAAGAAACGCCAGACTGCTGAGGCAGCTAAGGCGCCCTTTGCTCAAAACGTTTCTTGAAATTCCATCTTCGTGAGTAATTCAGACTACACCTCGCCTGGGATAGGGCACCGATAGGTTTGCCTTCTCGATCATACATGGCCAACCGAGACCCAGAAGAAACCCCGAGGAAAAATCGATGTTGGTTGGGAGATCCCATTCATCATCCATGGCCATGGGTGTGGTTTCTCGCGAAACCCGCGAGCCTTCCAACTCCGCGCGGTGCGCTTGCCGGCCCGCCGCCGCCTCTCTCGCGGTCCGAGTTGGACCGTTGCACGCGGGAAGCGTTTTGGGGGCACCCGAAAACCAAACAGGGCCGTTTCCGAATTTGGGACTCCGAGCAAACTGCCCAAAAGGTGGTTTGGTATAGGGTTTTTCATGGGAAAGAGAAGCTTCCGAGGAGATGCCCCGGATGGTTCAGGCCGTGTAATCCCCATGCCAGCCTTCTTTTCTAGGTGGAGCGGTCTCTCTGGAGGCCAAAGCACCGCTCCGGCAGAAAGGAACGTCACTTGGAAAAATTGCTGAAGCTCTAGCCATCCAAGAAAGTGGGGGGGAAAACATAGCCCCCGTGCAACAAGTGACTCGGGTTTTGGCCAAGGGATCTTCAACCAAAGAGGTGATTTCAGTCAACCAAAACAGCAGCCAAGTATGCCAACTATTGCAAGCAGAACCAGCGGAGCCCGTCCTAGTGCTCGCGGATTTTCTGGGTGTGGTCACTGGCGTGAACTGGACTTGAAGTCCGCTGTTGGGTCGGCTGGAAAGCCGGCCAGCAATTGCCTTCCTGTTGCTTCGACCTTGAAAACCCTAGAAATTGGGAAAACATTCTTGAGCCCCTTGCACAAAAGATCGGAAAGCATGTGCCCAGTATAGATTCCCTTTAAAACCAACAGGGGAACATTGAACAGAATCTTAAGCAAATGGAAGTTGTGGGTTGTCTAGAAATGTGTGCATCGTGTTTCAGTAGATCCACTTTGTTGAGGTTTCTAAAGAAAAATGATAACAATAATTTAGTCATAGATTCCCTTGAAAACCAATGGTGGAAACTTGCCCTCCCTACTAACATGGGAGCTGACAGAGGCTCCGAAAAACAGGGCGATATTGAGGTTAATTTTGCTGATTGCGTTTCATGGGTGTTGAGTTTACTGGAGGGCCCGAAAACAAAACTCCACTGTTGGTGCTACTCATTACTGTATGTAGAAACCCAAACGCCCCCGTGTGGTGCTTCCTTTCCTTTCTCTTCTGAGGGGCTGTTCCTTTGAAACTACAACTGCTTAAAGCGGCCTGGTTATAAGCCGCAAAAGCCATGGTTATAAGTCTCGTGCAATCAGCACGTACCTGACGGAACGAATCGATCGCCCCTTGGAGTACCCAAACATCCTATGGTTGTTAAGGGCCCCCCAATAGAGGGCCCCCAATCCCAACAGGGGCCAATAGCGACAAACAAGGTCTAGGAGCTCTCTTGGGTTCTTTTTTAGCTGTTTGCGGGGGGGCCTGACAAACAGTACCCATGTGAAGGGTGTTCCCCTCCAAATGTGGCCTGATTCCCTACATTTCACCCAGAATCGCACACCCAAACAAAAATTGAACTGGTTGGTTTTGATCTGGGCTCAACATTCATTCCCCTGACAACCAGCCCCAAGTACAAAAGACCTTTAACACAGGGCTGTGGGGAATGGAATCCACTTCCGTGATACAACGGAAGGGGCTTCAAGACGAGTTTGATCACATGCTGATTCCCTTTCACAGAACTGGTTTGATAAACCGAGTGATCCCCACAACCCTGCTTTACCACGAGCTCCTTTTCCAACGTTAACATCCCAAAACCTGTAAGACAAAAGCACCAAGTGTAACGAACCCAAGCAAAAAAGAATCATGCTCCATCCCCCCAAAAAAAACAACTTTGCCATGAGCTCCTTCTCCCCACGATTTCGCTCAGCTCGGATTCGCCCGCGCCCCCCCGCCTCCCAGCGCACCTGCGCCAGCTCCGCACGGAGCTCCGCCTGTCCGTCGACTTGCGTTCCAACCATCGGAGGTGTGTACTATGTATTTTATCTCTGTGTGGGTGGGTGTTTCTTGTGTGTTTTCAATGTAAACCAACGGGGTTGTATAGGAAAAAATGGGGTTGGGTGTGTGTGTGTGTATTTCTTGTGCTTTTTCAATGTAAGCCAATGGGGTTATATATAAAACCATGGGGGAGTGAATAAAAGCAGATATAGAAGCACATGGTGCCTTTATAAAAACAGTTGGTGTCTTGTGCATATACATCCATTGGATTGTTTACAAAAAGCCATTGGGTTGTTTGTACAAACATTTGTTTGCTGTATATCATTACGATTATCATTATTGTCATGATTGGTATTATCATTATCATCATAAGTACTACTGTTGTTATTAGTAGTATTATTATTGTTAACAAAAACGGGTGCTTGTATTTATTTGTAAAAACGCTGGGTGTTTATGCAAACTTTGTGAATGAGTGTTGATGGTGTGTTTGCGTAGGCTTGAGGGTTTGTGCAGGTTTTTAAGGTTTGTGCTGGTTTTGAAGGGTTCGAAGGTTTGAAGGTTTGTGTGTGTGTTGGTTTGAAGGTGTAGGTATTCAAGGTGTGTATAAGTTGTAGGGGGTTGTTCGGGGTTGAAGGATTGTGGTATATTGAAGGTGTGTGTGTGTGTAGGTTTTGAAGCTTTCAAGGCTTTGCAAGTTTCAAGGTTTAAAGGTGCGTGTGAGGTTTTAAAGGTTTGCGTAAATTTTGAAGGTTTGTGAATGTTTGTGAAGGCTTTTAAGGTGTGGAAGGGTTAGGTTTGAAGGTTTGAAGGTGGGCGGACAAAATATCCGCGCCAATCAGCAGCTGTTGAGATTGGCGGTTGATCTTAGGCAGTATGCATAGGATGTGTGGTACTTTGTCCAGAGAACACGGAGCTTCTTTTGAATCCGCCCAACTCAAGCATACCAAGCACCTAGGGCCGCTTTTGTGAAGCCCGGGTTTCACGCCCGGATGGCTAAAGCCATTGGACTCGCAACGCTCGCAGCTCACATGTCTCATTGGTGAGCGCCGAAAGCTTCCGAAGCGTTGGTTCTGCCAAGGCTGCAAAGGGAAAAAAACACAGGGCTCGCTACGCCCGTCTGCGTCCATGGAGGTTCGCGCTCGAGTGCCAGCAAGTGAGCCAAAAGCTCTGTGAGCGTTTTGGATTTGAGTGAAACTGACATTTAAGTACCTGAGATGTATCGACCCCTGCGAAGCAAAAAAAATATGTGTGGCTAGCGAGGAAAACGTCCCATGGGCAAATTGTCCCGCCCCTACGATCCCAAAACATCAATTATGAGGGCGTACCCCGAAAGACCTTCAAACAAGGTAAAATCGTGCGACCCTGCACTGAAAAAAAGCCAGATGGGCCCCAATTGAGAAGGAAACCTTCGACCAACTTTCTGTGTGGTTCCCCAATTGAGAAGGGAACCTTCGACCAACTTTCTGTGTGGTTCGGTCATCTTTGAGGAACCAAAGGAGCATTCGAGAGCCAAAAGCCCGACCGATTCGAATGGCACTCACTCTCTTGTTCTCTCAAGGTTGCTTTGTGGAGAAACCACGAGGGATCCCACCCATTTTATGGGCCCCCCATTTTGACACAACACCCTGAGCGGCCGGCCAACTGCGCTCGCTCGCTCTCGCACAGCTCCTCACGCGAGCTAAAGTCCCAAAATCCTTTCAGAGAATGAAATACCCCTGATAAACATCAAAGTAGGTGGCAAATGGATTTTCAGAGAATGAAATACCCCTGATAAACATCAAAGTAGGTGGCAAATGGATGTTCGTCCACCCCAAAATGGAGCCACAGGTTATGCCCCATGGCCAAATGACTCCACCCATGCTGCCAAGGATCTAGAAAGGGGTTTGGTGCTCTTTGATTGGTTGGGTCACAACTCGTTGGGGTGAGAACTCGGCTCGGAAGGCTCCCTGTCCGGTAATGCTTGCGTACGATCAGGGCGCCGCTTTTGGATGGTGCTGGTGCTGCGCTGGTGGTGCTCGTGCTGGTGGTGCTGTGCTAAATACATGAAATCAACCAACCGGTCTTGCAAAACACAACGGCCCTAAATTGCTCGCGGTCGCACGTCTCCTCGATGCCGGCCATAAGTCGGAAGAGACCTGCGCAGGTCCGCTCTCAGAAGCTTCAGAAAATCCCTGAGAGCCATAAGCCATAATCCAAACCTTTCCCTTCCTCCCACTAGCATGGCACCTGTGGGACCTGGAAGATCAGCTTCTTGGAGGGACCCTCTGTGTTAGGGGAGAGGGTAAACGGTCTTGGGAAAACCATGCGGGTGTGCTGATCGGGGCGAAAGGAGGTTGCCGCTTGAGGTTGTTGTCATCGGGATTGCGACCGTCTGCAGGCATCGGCGCGGTGCCAAAGACTTGCTCGACTTTGTACTACGCGCGCGGGCGACCGTTTGTTGGGATCGGCGCGGTTGAATTCAAAAAACGATTCTGCGGTCCGCGGTGTTTCTGCGGGGGGATTCTTTACACTGTTAGACGATCCCCTTTTCTTGTGGCTTTTTTGTTGAAAGGAAAACCGCCATTCGCTCTCTGCGAGTGCTCCGTGCAGTTTGTTTGCGCAAGTGGTGATTTTCCGCTGGAATGCGCTTCCCGTGCTTTGTACTCAACAGTAGCGATTGTCCCATGCACCCAGCGCGGACCTAATGCGAGAGCCGTCGCGCAACACACGCGACAACTTCCAAGGACCAGCTCGCAAGAAGTCAAAGCAACAAAGTTCGAACGGGACCACAGCGAGAGGCACGATCCCCGCAGGATCGACCCGCGGACTGCAGAATCGCGAAATGTCCTCAGCTTCTTAATATCGACGCAGAAATCGTAAACAGTCCCGGACACACAGAGGGTCACGCGGGATCCCCGCAGAGGGTTGATCCGTTTTCGAATTTTAGACACCGACCACGCCGATCCCCGCAAAGGGTCGGGCGAATGTTTCAAAACCCAAACAGTCCTCAGCTTTTTTGACATCCACCACGCCGATCCCATGTAAAGAATCGAGAAGGTGGATATCCGCTGTGGACTATCCCTCGCTAATCTTTATCTACCTGGGCTTCGGTTGCGGCAACAGGACACAGGGTCTCTGTTTCAAAAAGTTGTTTCAAAAGACTTTTGGGCGTCAGTCTGCAAAATCACGATGTGCCCATATGGCTTAAATGGGTTAGGTCCGCATTGCAGGGTTCGATTCCTCCCAGTCCAGCTCCCGTCCCAAACAGCACCAACAAGGAAAAGCAAAATGAAAGCAAAGGACAGCAAGTGACAGCAAGGGACAATGAGGGAAAGCAAGGCCAAGCAAGGAGAAGCAAAGGAACAAGCAATGCAAAGCAAGGGAAAGCAAGGGCAAGCAAGGAAAAGGAATTGCCTTGCTTTCCCTTGTCTTCCCTTGCTTTTCCCACCTTTTCCTTGCTTTCCCTTGCTTTCCTTTGCAGTCACTTGCTGCCCCTTGCTTTCCTTGCTTTCGCTTGCTTTGCTGTTGCTTTCCCTTACTGTCCTTGGCTGTCCTTCTTTCCTGGCAAGGAAAAGCAAAGGAAAGCAAAAGATAGCAAATAACAGCAAGGGAAGGACAGAAAGGGACATCAAGGGATAGCAAGGGCAAAGCAAGCGAAAGCAAGGGGCAGCAAGTGACTACAAAGGAAAGCAAGGAAAAGCTGAGAAAAGCAAGGGAAGACAAGGGAAAGCAAGGCAGGGCAAGGAAAAGCAAAGGAAAGCAAAAGACAGCAAATAACAGCAAGGGAAGGACAGCAAGGGACAGCAAGGGACAGCAAGGGACAGCAAGGGACAGCAAGGGACAGCAAGGGACAGCAAGGGATAGCAAAGGTAAACAAGGGAAAGCAAAGGGAAAGCAAAGGGAAAGCAAAGGGAAAGCAAAGGGAAAGCAAAGGGAAAGCAAAGGGAAAGCAAAGGGAAAGCAAAGGGAAAGCAAAGGGAAAGCAAAGGGAAAGCAAAGGAAAAGCAAAGGGAAAGCAAAGGGAAAGCAAAAGGAAAGCAAAGGGAAAGCAAAGGGAAAGCAAAGGGAAAGCAAAGGGAAAGCAAAGGGAAAGCAAAAGGAAAGCAAAGGGAAAGCAAAGTGTAAGCAAAGGGAAAGCATTGGGCAATGTTTGTCAGTCTTGTCGCTGTCCGTTGGCGCCGCGCTGGTTTGCAAAGGGCCCTCCTCTTAGACCCACTGTTACGTTTCATGCTAAGATAGGGGGGTATCTTCCATGTTAGGCGCTTGATGAGAACTTGCTGTGGCCGTCTCTTCTTTGACCGTCTGACGTGCTTCGTTTGGTTTGTCTTTTTGGGGTTTTGAGGCAGTTTCGCACAATTAAGGGGCTCCTCCAGTTGGTTTCCTGGTCCCCCCAAATCCCCCCCCCCCTCCAAAAACAATCACCCTCCAGCGCCTGGCTACTCCATGGCGACCGGAAGAACGCCGCGAAAAACCGCGAGAGGGATTTTTTGGAGGAAGCGTTCCGCTCCGAGCCGACGCATCTCCAAGCCACTTGAGGTAATTCAAAAAACTTGGCTGATCTGATCGGGAGTGTCACTTTGAGAAGCGGGTCAGATCCCTTTTGGAGGGAATTCTGCAGGACAGGTTACAACTTTGAGGGTCAACATCACCGTTGCCCCAGACCGAAGCCCAACGCACTTCCACAGGGAACAGCAGTGTTCTCGGTCTGCTGCGACGATTTGCGTATCTTCTACAGTTCGGCTCAAGGGCCTTCTTGTATACTCTCAGAGCCATCAGCGACCCCCAAAAAAAAACACATCCGGAACTTCCTCAACATCCATGACCTGATACTTCCTTATTGGTTCTGAGATAGATACAATAACATAGTGAACCGTGACAGTGAGCTAATCCGATGAGTAACAAGGGAACCAGATGAGTGGTGGTTTTTGTGACAAGAGAAGGAAACCGACGATTCTTCCGGGATCTTCTCATTTTGAGACAAGCTCAACTGCACGCACGTGTGTAGCTAACATGGAGGGGGCATTTCCTAAATTAGGACAAGAGCCTTTGTCGCACATCTTCGTTCGGGCGCCAAACGCTATTCGCACCCCCCCAAAACACACCCCATGGGAAAGAGTAAAATAGCCTTTCACTCGCGAAACAGCGATGGGCAGTGAGAACCGGCACCCCCAAAATGGGCAGTGAGAACAGGCATCCCTGTCACTGGCCTAGCCCCCAACAGGGCATCCTCAAAAGCATCGAGAAGTCCACTGGAAGCTCCTCAGGCGCGGTTCCCTTTCGCAAAAAAACAAAGCACGGTACCCGAAACTTATGTTTCACCCGCGGGGTCAGTTTTGCGGGCTTCAAAACCAGACAAGAAGATCTTGTTTCCTTCAAACAAAGTGGGGGGTTCGAGCTTCCTGTTTGGCCTCCTTCCGGTCCAACCCATTTTCAGCCCCGCAAAACCTTGCGACGCGGTTCTTTTCGCACTGCAGGAAACGCCAAGTCGAGCATTGGCGTGGCTTGAAAGCAAGCCGTCCGCAGAGGCAACGTCTGGACTTCAACTCATGGGTGTGTCTTAAAATGGCTGTGGGTCAAAATTAGGTACCTAAAATGGCTTGCCCTGGTAAATGGAACCAAAGACTAAAACCTGCGGTCCAATTCCTGGTGGCTTAATTTTGAGCCACACCCAAACAGGGGAACCTCCCAAATGGTTCCGCTTGGCCTTCTTTTACAGAAAGGGCACCGTGAAAGAAGACACAGACTTTTCCTCAATAGCCCAACAAAAGTATTTTAACTACTGGTGGGGGGGGACCGGTTCTGAGTTGTGGTTTTGGATCTTCAAGAACTGACAATGTCACAGTAGCCGTTAATCACCAGAAGTCAAACTTCAAACAAAAAGTGAGATCCCAATCAAAAAATGTAATAAGGCTGCTCACGCGCCCAAAGATGTTCTGGGGTGGACATGTCGGGTCGAGTTGGCCTCTCAAAAAAATCGGAATCGGAACCATTTAAATTGTGCTGGGTTTGCCGGAGCGTTTGGTGGACGTCCACCAACCATTGGCCACTGTTTTCCCGAAACGGAAAATAGAGGAATCGAAGCCTTAAGCTGACACATGACCGAGATACCGTGGCCATGTTGGCCTCCCCATCGTCGTTGCGTCTTCCAACGGCCGCACCTCCTCCGCCCGAATGGGAGCAATCCGCTAGGTTATAGGGAGTAACAAGTTAGCATACCCAACCAACACGCACAGTTTGCAAATCGGCAAGGAAATGGGTCGGCCACAACTGGAGGTCCAGGAAAAGCGCCCCATGTTAGAGGCATCACTTTGAGAGGAAACATGTGGTCCAAACCGGACGAAAATTTGAGGCCATGATGACATCCAAGTGAGACAGCTTGGGTTGCTTTACCCCACACTGCCTTGGCGAACAATTTAGCATACACAATTCGTACAGCAGCAATTCAGCCAGGTGTGCTTGTGTGTGCGAGTGTTTGTGTGGTCGTGTGCGTACGCGTGCGCGTGCGGGTGCGGTGTCGTGGGCGGGCGTGCGGGCAAGCGGGCGGGCGCGTGGGCGGCCTGTGGGCAGGCGCGTCGGCCTGCAGGTGTGAGCGCGGGCGTGTAGTATTCCAGCGTGGGTGTGTGGGTGTTTGTGGTGTGGGGGTGGGTGTTTTTTGCGTTTGTGTTGGATTTGTGTTTGTGATTCTGTTTGTGTGTTCTTTTTGGTATGGCACCTGTTCACCTCGGTTTGACGGGAAACAAAATGGAAAACCCGAGCCGTGGCGTTTGGGCTTCTGCATCCGCTTCGGCTCCTTCTGGCTTCCTTCTTTCACCAAAGATACTGGGAAAGGCCGTAGGCGTTTTGAAGAAATCGACGGGGGATCAAATAGAAATAGAAACATACGGAAACTCCGCTTCTTCGCTTCTTTCCTACCGGCCACCTCACCCCGTTGGAAGGACTTTGACCCCGGTCCTCGGAGATACCTCAGACTTCATCCCCGGTTATGGCTGGTCAAAAAGATAGGGCAACCCCAAAATGGCTTGGCAAGTGGAAACGTAGACTGGAATCTGCGGTCCCTGGTTTAAGTTTGACCCGTACCTAAATCCCCGACCCTTTCCCGGGTCAGAAGTGCCCATTTCTGTGTCGGTCATTTTCTACCTAAGATCTAAAAGTATGAGCTTGCAAGAAACCGGGCGGGAACCGACCTCAAGTGGCCCATGGCATCATTGAACAGGTCGTTAAAGTCTTCGAAAACTCCGCGTCTTGTTCTTGAATCTGCTTCTTGCTGCGACGCTCAGCCTTGTACCGGTCGAAACATCCTGGTTTTGGAGGGTGAATGGGAAACCACCCACAGCCCTCCTATGTGCTGGGCTGGCAGGGATGCCTTTTGAATCTGGCAGCAATGGCCATTCTCACTTCCACGCCCTTCAGGGCTTGGCCAGGGATCTGGCAGACAACCAAATGGATACACAACCCGCCTGGCCGCCAATCCAAAACGGCTTCCCGTAACTGAAATGCGTTTGACAGGGGTAACTCGCCGTGACAGATCAAGGCTCTATCACTCTTGCCGCAGGTTACTTGCAATGCGCGAAGATTCACTCAACCTAAATCGGGCAAGTACTGCTTTGGATTCATGGACCTTTGCATACAGTTCGCCCGTTCAGACAGCTTTTTGAGGCGAGTTCACGGGCGTGGGCGCATCATCAATAATCACCTTCAGTGTCAGCTTGACACTCCTGTCACTGGCATTTGAGCTGTCCGTGTCAACCGTTCCGGGAGGCCATCCAAGTCACAATCATGAACATCACGATCACAAACATCAAACACGTCTCACACAGACACATACACAACTCTTCCAAGGTCATCGCCTGGTTCTGAAAGTTGTTGGTTCCCGAGAAAGGCTGAAGGACATAAGCCCTCTTGGGCGATAGGCCCAAATACCAGGAGAGGCAATGCTCCCGGGCGCATCTGTTCAGCAAAGTCCGCTCCACATCACGAGGAAAACGTCACCTAGCTAAATGGATTTCACTGGTGTCTAGTTGCATTCCAAAGAAGCATGGCAAAACGAAACATCTGAGTCCATGAGAGATTAGGGAGCAAAACTCTGCGCTGGGGATTCGCAAACTGTCACTGCCCGATTTCCGGCGCATCTTCTTGATGCCCCGTTCAAAACTTCCATCCTGCGTCTTTTCGACGAACTTGTCAGCACCGTACAAAAAATCATTTGGGCAACCTCCAGAAATTCCATTGGCTCGTCTCGCCGATGTGTGCCCTGTAAGTCCATTGTCAGGATGGCGCATCACAACCAAAAACAGCTATGCTTCGTAGCGGGGCCTTGCAGAACACTGGGCGACTGAGGGGCAGTACAACTGCGTCACATGCGTCAATCTCTGTCTTTCTCTTGCTTGGCCACACCATTTCGTTTCTGGCGGTCAGCCTCCATGTAACTGGGCTGGCAAGGATGCCTTTTGAATTTGGCAGCAATGGCCATTCTCACTTCGACGGCCTTTAGGGCTTGGCCAGGGATCTGGGAGACCACGAATTGGATACACATCCAGCAAACCTCAGGTGCACCAATCCAGTGTGGCAAGCTCTCCCAAAGCCCTGGTCACTAGGTCACAACCAAGGATGTTCCTGGAAAAAGGGCAATGCTGTGTCCGATCTCACCGCCTAGGAGAGTCGCACACAGCTTGCCGCCGCACCCGTTGCCTGAACGTTGCCAGACTGCCCCTACGCGTCTGGTTGACACCAAGCGCTCGTTTGCGTAAGCGCGCAAAATCATTCTTCACTGGTCCCCATCCGGCACCATAGCAGGAATCATTCCTACCTTTCGCTCCTCTCGCCGATGTGTGCCCTATAAGTCCATTGCCAGGATGGCGCATCACAACCAAAAACAGCTATGCTTCGTAGCGGGGCCTTGCAGAACACTGGGCGACTGAGGGGCAGTAAAACTGCGTCACATGCGTCAATCTCTGTCTTTCTCTTGGTCATGGCATCTCTCTTGCTTCCACTTCTTTCAGGGCTTGGCCAGTTATCTACAAGACAACGAAATGGATACACATCGCAAACCTCAGATGCACCAATTGCTCTCCCAAAAACCTGGTCATTAGGTCGCGAACGCGTCCTTGGGAGACATCGCTTGAAAAAAAGGCACTGCAGGCGTGATGCTTGCTGTGTTCGACTTTATCGCGCAGGAACGGTCGCGCACAGCTTGCCGCGGCACCATGCTGGCTATCTCCTTTGGTCAATGACAGTTGCCTGAACGGTACCTCAAATGCGCCTCTGCGTCTATTTGACACGAAGCGCTCGCACGTGCAAGTGCGCAAAATCATGCTTCACCAAGTTCCCGTCCAGGAAAATAGCAGGAATCATTCCTACCTTTCGCGCGGGCAACTCCGCGCTTGTAAGCAAACAACAAGGGAGATATGCATCTACGCTTGGCCCTTACTTCCAATGCATAAGCTGCAAGTTCAAGCGTGGAGTTGCCCCGGTCATCCCCGGCCCTACGCGGCAAGCCATTGCAGCCGTTCCAGCTCCGCTTCAGCACGCGTGCCCGACAGCAAGATCAGCTGGCGGAAGCTGAGCCGGCGCAGGGCCCGGTTCAGCTCACTGATCATCGACGGTGGCACGGCGCAGCCAGCACGCGGCAGAGCGGCCAAGCGGCTCTCCATCTCCGCAAGAAGGCAATCCGCTCCAGCCACCTTGACTTGGACCCCATGCAAAGAGTTAAATAATTTTGCTGGTAAGGAAAAATTGGATGAAACCCGACAAGGCAAAAAGTTATTGAAAGGTATGCTTTTTGGTCTGGCTCCAGGCACGTTCTTGGCATGCAGGTATGGCAGAACTAGCGCGAGGATCTCCGCCTGGCATAGACCGCTCAAGGTCTCGCGCATCCTCGAGTTCAGCTTGGCGGGCTGGTGTGGCAGGTGGCAAAAATTGCACTCCCCGCCCCTGGGGCACCCTCCTCTCGTCATGAAGAGGCACGGCTTGAAGCAGAGCTCCGGGTGACCCAAACTGCCAAAGGAGACCGCCGCCTCCTTTGCCGGCGCTTCCGCCTCGGAAGCCGCGGCGACGTCTTCGGCCGCCCGGACGGCTTCGGCTTCGGCCTCGTGAACCGCTGCCGGCTCGTGGGTTGGCACCGGAATCGGCGGAGTCAGCCCAATGGCCCGCTGGAGGCTGGCAACGTACAAGGCCTCCGGTGAGCTGCGCCGCAAGGTTCTCACTGGAGAGCTCCTGGCGCGGGCTGATCCGATCGCGTCCTTCACGGTGATGAAGGTTTTCTCATAGCACAACTGCACCATGTGCCTTGCCCTTGGTCTCGTCGTGGGATCAAAGCACTGGGCCAAACTGCGGAACTGACGCGATGTTTTTAGGAGGCACGACGAGCTTGCTGCCTGAACCTCTACTCGTTTCCGTTGCCTGGCTCCGAGCAACTCAAGAAGACTTCAGGAGGATTGTTCTTTTCCCAACCCGCAGAAATCAGAAACAACCATTTGTACCTTCTTGGGACTTTTTTACATTCGACAACTTAAGCCCTGCACAACTTTGACATGCTCTGTTTTGAATATATTTCCTGCTTAGACTCGACAAAGCAGAATGCTGCATGATTGGAATTGAGGTCGCAAAGCGTCACGGAAATAGAGCATATGTCTCTTGGAAACCCACTCAAAGAATTGGCTCAAAGGTGATGCTGAAAGCCACCCTTTAAAGGGAAATATGGGTATGAATGTTGATTGGGGAGCTTTTTGGCGGACGTCCACCAACCATCGGCTTCCCAAAAGGGGAAATAGAGGAATCAAAGCCTTAAGCTGACGCATGACCAAGATACCGTGGCCATGTTGGCCTCCCCGTCGTTGTTGGCCTCAAACACTCCATGGTCTTCAACTGCACCTCCTCCGCCCGAATGGGAGCAATCTGCTGGGTTATAGGGAGTAACAAGTTTGCATACCCAACCAACACGCACAGTTCGCAAATCGGCAAGGAAATGGGTCGGCCACAATTGGAGGTCCACGTGCGAACTTGGTACTCCCTATAGAAAGGAGCCCCATTTTAGAGGTATCACTTTCGGAGGAAACATGTGGTCCAAACTGGACGAAACATTGAGGAAGTGATAGCATCCAAATGAGACTGGGTGAGCTTGCTTTACCCCACACTGCCTTGGCCAACAATTTAGCATACGCAATTCGTGCAGGTAGCAATTCTGCCAGGTGTGTTTGTGTTTGTGCGTGCGTGTGCGTGTGCGTGTGCGTGTGCGTGTGCGTGTGCGTGTGCGTGTGCGTGTGCGTGTGCGTGTGCGTGTGCGTGTGCGTGTGCGTGTGCGTGTGCGTGTGCGTGTGCGCGTGCGCGTGCGGTGCGCGTGCGCGTGCGCGTGCGCGTGCGCGTGCGCGTGCGCGTGCGCGTGCGCGGGTGCGGGTGCGGGTGCGGGTGCGGGTGCGGGTG